ATCAAAAAGGGATAAAAATTAAAGAAATTAATAAAATTGTTCTTCTGATTAGTGGTGAAGTAACATCCTGCTTGGGGCAAACTCATGAAAAAAATCACACCTGGTCAGAGAGTATTAAATTCTAAATAACATTCATTCAAAATTGCAACATCCTGTGAAACTTAAATCACAAGGCCTTTTGAATACACTAGATAAGTAATACACGAGTTTAAGAAAAATAGGGCTTTCTTTTTACCTGTAAAACATACATGTACTGAGGTAATTAAACCTTATTAAAGTGCTTATTGTATGCCATGCTTTTAATTTTGACAAAAATTATTTAAATTTAATTGAAATAAGTTTTTACTGTAACTTTGGAACACATTTCCTTTTTTAAAAGTTTATCACAGGATTACTATGGAAGTTCTATTATCATGATTATATTAAATTCTTGGTTTAACAAAACAAAGGTGTCATTTTTTAAATTTATCAAGTTGCTTTATACATGTTATATGCTATTTTATATATGTTTTACTAAAAAAAAATGTTCACTGCATTATTAACTAAACTCAACTGACACCATAAATCTATAATGGTAAAAATTGTCCAGTAACCATAAAATATATCTGAAACATTCAAAATTTTTTGAATAACATTGAAAATATTAGTCACAATTCAGTTTTGAGATTATTTGATCAGCTTATTTTATTTTTATTTTAAAGGTGATATATGTGTATGTATATAAGTGTTGATGAATATGGTGTTGAAGTTATATTATGTTTATTGTGAAATTTTGATTTCAATGCTATATTGAATACATTTTTAATTTCAAATTGTTGTTCAAATTTCTAGCCAGGGGAAATAGCTGTTGTTAAAAACAGTTCCTAAATTGATGAAATACAATAGATAGATACAAAAAATAGGTCTAGGTTGGTTAAGACTTGGTCGAGTATGGTTCAGACTAGGTCGAGCATGATTCAGACTAGGTCGAGTATGGTTCAGACTAGGTCGAGCATGGTTCAGACTAGGTCGAGCATGGTTCAGACGCGTATAAAATGGTTAAGTACTGGTCGAGTACAAGTTCAGACTGTTAAGTATGGTTCAGACTACAGTCGAGTATTATCAAGTAAATTTCAGACCAATTCAGACTGGTCGAGTAAAAATCAGACTGGTCGAGTAAAAATCAGTCCAGTCGAGTACAGATATAGGCCATTTCAGACTTTTACTGGTTTGTAGTGATATAATCAAAGTTTACATTTTTCTGATTGGATTTGAAAAATCTTTGTATTATGCTACATGTACCTAAGTTTGTCGCAAAGTACATACAAATAGTCTCTGTTTTTTTCTTCTTTTTTCTTCTTTTGATAAACATTGATGTTCAGTCAGTAATAAAACAGTAATATAAACAGGGAGTTAACTAAATCATATATAGATGCATTTATACATCTGTGACTTCATATAATCAAAGTTTTTCATGTTTTGTATTAATTTTATTTTCATAATAACTCTTTTTTTTTTGTACTAGTTTAATGCATTGTTTAAATAAAAAGTGATAAATAAAGTTAAATGTAAAAAATGTAAACATGACGAAAACATTAGTTCTTTCTAACAATGAAATATATCCGCATTTAAAAAAATAATAATTTGTAATATTGTTTTACCTAGTGTATATATATCTTTAATAACAAATCTAAGTAATTCTTAAATATATAATTTTTTATTTTAAATTTGTTTTATTCTGATTTATAACCTGTTCAATTGCTAAGTAGCTTTTAATTGTCAGTTTCTTTTGTCTGGATTTCCATTTGACACATCTTTTAAATGACCAGATGATAAGTGTAACAGCCATAACACCACACCGAACCTTTGAAGTCAGTGTTGACCTTCATCTATGGGCATTGACTTTGCCGTGTTAACGTTATAACTGACGGTAACTAATCACAACTTTTATTGTGGTATAATTTAAGAGATCTTGGACGACATAAACTTTCATGGACAATGCAATTTAACTGTTATCTAATGCATATAGGCGATAGCTAGTCATTCGTACCTCATCCATTTCGTTATTGAACCGAATATTCACAGCAGTGTTTTATGGCAGATTCCTGTTGTATTTTAAGACATCATAAGGGAGCTACCATTTGATTTTTATGGGGGGGGGCTAGGATGAAAAATTTTGTCCTTATTCTTTTTTTTCAGTTGGCAGTCTCTGTCCTGCCTTTTTATTTTTCACTCTATTCGGTCCCCCCCCCCATAAAAATCAAATGGTAGCTCCCTAATTACAAAAACAACCGGTTCCTTACAAGTCATCTTTTCATAACATGCAAAGTTTCTCTACGTTTATGAAAAACTAGTAATGGGGATAAATTTCAGCTGAAAAAGTTTGTTTCTCTCTGAAGACTACGAAGAAGACAGTAAATTCATAATATAACATTTCTACCTTTTCTTGTGTTAACTTTAGATTGATACGCAATGCACTGCGTGATTTTTTTTCCAAGGGTCAATATGATTCCCAAAAATAGTACTGTAAATACAGAAATTATTGAGAGGTTTATGTTAATGCTAATATATGCGACTGTGTTATTTTTGCAATAATAAGAACGGTAAACATATATCTGTATTCAGATTTTCTGAAATCGCAATAATAAATCTCGCATTTCTATTCATTCTTTAAAAAACGAAATAATAAATGCACGCAATAATTTCTAAATTTACAGTATACTGCAAGTGGTGGTAATTAATAATTGAAACCCTAAAGTGACATTTTCTTTTAAACCTGAAAACATTGAATTGGAAGCGCATGACATTTCATTTACAAGATATATTAAGAAATCATCATGTCACATTAAGCAAACAACTACGACGAGCACATATTATATGTCTTTCGGTTCATTTTTCTACGTTGCTGGACCGCCTCGATGGCCTCATGGTAGCGTATTAGCTTTTAGCGCAGGAGGTCGTGGATTCGAACCCCGGCCGTGTCAAACCAAAGACTTGAAAATTAGTATTTGAATTGGTGCTTCTTCTCAAAGCACACTGTTTTAGGAGTAAGAGCAACGATTGGTAGGCTCGGAGTCAGACAATGTGTCCAGGTAAGGTGACATGTCTTCCTGCGCACTGTTAGCTTGTAAAATCCGACTCGGTTTGTCGGTCAAGTACAAGAAGAGTTTTTATTCCTATCACATTTCATTTTCATGTCCTGAATTTGCATTTATTTTGCCGCTGGACGTTAAAAACAACCATCCATCAATGTACGTTGTTGACATTTTCTTTTAAACCTGAAAGTTGCAGTCAATGGGTTATGAACCATTTCCAAATTATTACAGAATTTTCGTTTTCCTTAAGAGTTCTGACATATAAATGCCATATCACATACCAATGGGATTAATAAAGGTATGACAAATTGCATTGTTCTCTTCGTCCTTGAACTAATGTCTATCAAATTGAATTTGATTGAAAATCAAGTAGTTTAGAATCAATTTTTATACGACCGAAAAAAAAATTGCGGTCGTATATTGGTATCACGTCGTCGTCGGCGTCGTCGGCGTCGTCGTCGTCGTCGTCAGTGTCGTCCGAAGACATTTGGTTTCTGGATAATAACTTTAGTAAATGTAAATAGAAATCTATGACATTTAAACACAAGGTTTATAACCACAAAAGGAAGGTAGGATTGATTTTGCGGGTTATAGTCCTAACAGTTTAGGAATTAGGGGCCAAAAAGGGGCCCAAATAAGCATTTTTTTTTATATCCAGACAATAACTTGTGGAACAGTGTATGGATCTCACTGAAATTATACCACACGTTTCCATTCCACAAAGGGATGGTTAGGAGTGGCTTTGGGGGTTATTGCTCAAACCGTTTAGGAATAAGGGGCAAAAAAAGGGGGAAAAAACATGGGTTTTTTGGTAAATGAACAATTAAAAAAAAGTACAATGTTATGTTTGGATTACCTTTCTTACACTGCTTTTAAATTATGTATAAAGAAATGTTGTATTGTCTTGAGGTGATTAACTGTCAATTTATTTTTAGAAGTTACTATTTAAAAATGCTGATTAAGGAATATTAATTTTAGCCATGATTATGTATGTCATTTTCTATTTCAAGACTTTTATGATGTATCTAAATGGGTAATTATGGTTGCAAACTCCATTGGAAATTTGAATTGAGATTATGACCATATCCATAAGAATTTTTTTTTGGGAAAACGGGGGGAGGTGAAAACAAATTAGGGGGGGGGGGCGGGGTAAAGGGGGGGGGTCAATTTGCAACAGCATTATGTATTGCACAAAAGCAAAAAATTGAATATAAATTTAAATCATATAACCAATTCTTAGTTCTTTGACTACAGTTATTCTGTGTCAGAAACCTATTATATGTCAAATATTTAATTACAATCCAAATTCAGACCTGTATCAAGCGCAAATATTGTGTCCATTTTTGCCCCAACTGTTCAGGGTTGGACCTCTTCGGTCGTATCCAGCTGCACTCGGCGAGGCAATTTTTATCTTTATTCATTGTATTCATCAATCTCATAATAAATGCAACATACTTATTCTTATGCATGCTACCAGATACTATATGGTCTCATTCATGAGTCTAACTTGCAGTTCAACTTTTGCAACTCCAACATCTGTCTTTTTCTAGCTTGACTAATTCACGAGAATTTATTTTAATTTCATACCCGCGCTTGCGCGAGCTATTTTTTATAGTAAAAGATGTGGCTGAGCAGGAATTTACATGGATGAAGATTTAATGAAAAAAAAAATTCTGTTTCATTTTGACGAGAGAAAAATTTGGACAGAAAATAACGCTAATGCTTATTGACAACCAAACCAGTCCTACGCACCTAACAAATTATGATACATAATTAACAGTACTGAAACTATTCATAAAACTTTTAACAAAATTATAATTATTCAGATTGAACCACTGACATTTCGCTGCAGCATTGACAAAGGTTGAACATGATAATATTCCAACTAAAATTGACATCAATTTTATTTAAATACTCTAATACTACCAGTATATAAAATATTACACTACTTTATATACCAAGTCTGACTAAGCCTTCATCATTTCAAAAGCCAAGATGATGAAGATCGTGCTGCTGTTTGCTTCCCTGTTTGCCTATGGTAAGTTAAAAAATTTAAAAAATCGAATTAGTTTTTTCCATTTGGAATAACTATGTTATGAAAGTCGTGAATTGTAACATTTAAATTTTCGTTTGAATCATAGTGTTATCTTATACTTGATAAAGCTGAATGTTGGTTGTTCAATTCGATCTTTTTTTAAATTTTAACCGATCTGTCTTTTCGTAAAGTCATACGAAACGATGTTCGGTATTTACAATGCATATATAATTAACTTTGTCCTCTGTATGCGTTTTTATTTACATTTATTTACGAATCCATAACGTATAATCAACAACAAATATTTCAATCTGTGATTGTTGATCGAAAACTCTGGCTGCTTATAGTCTATTTTCATATTACCGACTTTTGACCCCGGAATATATAATGTTTTGGTTTTCCGATGATTTTCTGGTGTATAGAAAGAATAAAACAGTAAATTTTTCCCAAAATTGCACCGACTGTTAGCTCGATTTTAGTTCTTGAAAACATATCTAGACAACAAATAGTCTGCTAAACACTAGACGCAATGATGATCTCTTGGGCTTCCGGAAGGGTCAGGAGTTTCTAAGATTGTTGTTTAATGAAATACCCAAGGTTTGCAGGACTAAATTACATTACAGTTATTAAATTTGACATATGCATAGGTTTGAATACTTGATGTTATAAGAACAGACCAGTGTTTTCCGGTACTAAAACGGAATCATTCGCCCGGATGTCAGTGTAGAGCTCTCAATCGATCATTGAAAAGGTCAACTTGAAATATTCAAGGTCGTATGCACAACATACCCCTTTGGAAAGTCCTTGATGAGTCCTAGTCTTTTCATGCACATTAGAATAGTTCAAAATCAAAATATCAAGTCCAGGTATAAAGATTAGAATTTCAAATTGGGTTCTACTTTTACGACATATGGTCACAAAAAGGGGGCTGTGGGTACAACTACACCCCCTATCTCGTCGGACACTTGATCCACACTTGAGTTGTTTGAAAGCATTTATTACAAAAGTTATGTCAATCGAATTTTATTTCAGTTGACTGTTTTGTCAAGGTTGAAAACTACAAAAATTCGGTTTATATAATGAGGGGATATTCCAAATGGGATAAATTCGAAAAAGCAGCAGATACAACCGTTTTTGAACCGAGCGACTATGATTTGATGTCTGATAAAAGTCTATTTTGGGTTGAAGGTTGTAACAAGAAAGGTAAGATTACAAATTAAATATAATATTTATAATACATCTTACAAGCTAAACAAAATAATTTATAGCACAACCACGTCAATAAACTAGTCACACATGATTGAAAGACTAACGGGTTTCTTATCGAATGAGGATATTTGATATCGCACAATTCCAACCTTCGTTATCAAATTTCAATAAAAAATTCAAAAAAAACAGTCCTATATTTGGTTTATTACCGGGTATTATAATTGGACTCAAATATAACGAGGCAAATTGAATGAGACATGAGTGTTCGTTAATGAGACAGCATCCCAACGAACAAAGTAGCCAGATTCGAAAAAATATATAGAGGTCAACATACAGTTTTAAGACAGGTGTCGATATACAATATTTAAAGATCTTAATCGTTCAGAGTCGATAAAGAAGAAAAAAGGTATTAGGCCAAAACCAAACTAAAACGATAAAGCAGGAACAAGATAACAGGCCAAAACCAAACTAAAACTTTAATTTGTGCTGTATACTGTGAATAACTCTTTTCAATAATCCCATCCGAAACCAGTATTATTTTTTCTTTAAAAATCTTTCTTTAGAAATTATCTCCATACTAGTCCTATCCGCGATTTGAGATGTGCTTAAGTGTGATAACGAGATCTCAAATGTCATTGTCACTATGATGACTTTAATATACTAATTACTGAAAAAGTGTTTCAACTTTTTCTAATGAATTAATAAACACGAAATCAATTGGTGCAGACAATTTACCAAAACAGAAAGTTATATCGTCACAGAAGTAAAAATAAAAATGGCAATACAAAAGTCATGGTCAGAATGATGAACTGAAACTGAAATTGTGTTTAGAAATTTGTTCTAAAGAGTTAAAATAAAATTGTCAGTGACAATTATGATAACTAAGTAGTTCCCCAATCCATTGTAAAAAAAAAAGAAAATAGACCCGGTGGTTCGTTTACAACATAAAATTGGGATACTATTAAATGGAAAAAAACCCTGCTAAGATCAATTCTTGTTGAAAAGGCATATGACTTTTTTCAAGGCATTCGAGGGGAAATGCATGTTAAAAAAGATTGTTCTTAATTGACACTGTGGTCTAAAGATCAATAATAGATGAATTTGTATATATATTTTCAGGACATTTATTACAGTTTTACAAATATGAACCAGATACCATGACGCAATATCCGGTTTTAAAGTACTATTTCACAAATGAAGAGGTAAGCTCAGTATTTAATCAAATGAAAAACATTTTACTTTTGGATAAAGATAGTATAGTGTAGTGTTTAAACAAATGATGATAGATTTTTTTCAAAATGTAGTTTGATCGTGATATTTCCAAAAATTTAATGAAAGGAATAGGTCACTGAACATGGTTTCAAGCCATAGGTTTTGCAAAAGCATTAATATGTGAATAGAAAGAAAATTAGATGATAGAATTTTGAAATAAGATATCAGAAAAAGGTTTTATAAAATCATAAATTTCTTCATCTATATAATAAAAAGTCTAACAAAGCAATAGCATTCTTGCATAAAGAAAATGGTAAGGCAAATTTCCTCTGCATTTATCTCGCATCTCAGCCATTTTATGTACAGCATTTCATCTTACTTTGTGTGGTATTAGTTTCTAACAACATTGTTTAGGTCTAAAGATGATTCAAAACTGCAATTTGATGCGGGTGATTTTGAGTATTTTTCAATAAATGATTCCGGAGGACAAAGTTAACCAAAACCAAAATGTTGTCGGAGGCTAAGCTATGTAAAGCCTTGTTACAACTACCTTCATAGCAGTTGTTTCTGTTTTCATAAATTCCTGAAATCAGAAACGAAGATAATAATTTAAAAACCTACCATTCCGGAGCATTTTTTACGTATACTTTTAAGAAAAAAGAGATAAAAATTTTGGGACAACTGATTGAGTGATTGATTGATTGATTGATTGTTGGTTGCTAAACTCCAGTGGCAAATATGTCATGCATGTCGAAGACAAAACAAATTAATAATAAATACAAAAGGTAGGTCATGTAGTAAAAGCGGTCAGGGATGAAAATCGGGAAAATTTGGACGGCCACTGGAAAAAAGGGTATATTGGAAAGGGAAAGAAATTTTGACTTGCAATAGACAACCTATATACCACTCAAAGAGTTGCTGCAAGTTCTTAACGTGCAAAGAGCGTTGCAATCTCTTTACACGAATCGTTTAACGTCCACATTTTGACTGGACGTGACTGTGCAGTTGTATATCCCGCAAAGCCAAACGGACGCCCCACTTTGGCTAGGGTTTTACTGCCGGTCAGAAAAAGATCTCAGTGACCATAGTTCTATTCCCCAGTCACCCTTGGGGGGTAGGACAAATGAATTTTATCGTATGTTTTAAAATGTTTTTATTTTTTTACTGCACATTCATAGTGGTTTTTTTCTATCAACAAACTGAAATAGGTGCAGGAAACGTGTTTCTGGTTAAAAATTCATTCCGTAAAGAGGATTACTATGAAATATGCACACATCGATCTTATGAATCAAGGACTTTTGATTTGTGACTTTTTTTGGTGACAAAATTGATGCAGCTATTAAACTGAAATATTTCCTTTCAGCCTTAGATATCTACAACTTTATATAAAAAGGCTTTAAACACGAAAAGGACAGAAAAATAATACTTGTGTTGAAAAGGAGATGTTGCGTTTCTTATATATGTATTTCTCTAATTCTTCGTCAATTTATCCCTTTCTACACCCATTGTATAAAAAAAATTCATTTGATCTCAGTTCTAAGACTTCATTGGTTAAAATCCGATTATGACGTCGAATTTTCTTGCTTTCCTCTGAATTTCATATTGTGACGGCATGAAAAAAGGCGACCATATCTGATGACGTCACATAGAAAGAACACATCTTTTTGCCGATCATTCAAAAAGAAGGAATAAGTTTGCCTGCATATTGTTTGAAAGTCATTAGAGAAACAGATTCCACCACCAAATCTCGTGTAATACGATATTTATCCACTCTCGACAGTTAAATTTTAAATATTTAAAACGCTCGGCGAGCCTCGCGTTTTAAATTTGAAAATTTAACTGTCTCGAGTGGATAAATATCGTATCACACTCCATGCAGTGGTAGAATCTATATTGCTCAGTATACATGTAAACATGAAAAGTGCCTTTTAATTTTAAAATCCCATTATCACAATTCAAACGCATTTTTTTTTTACTTTAACTATTTACTATTTTCAGTATTACCAGAAAATATCAACGACCATCATAGAACAGATGACTTACCACCCTGTCGTTCATGTAAAAATGTTTTAGATATTGACATTTTATATGTACTTCCAGACTGTAACATTTTATTTTTTTTCTTGTGTGTGTTTTTTTTTTATGTTGTTGTGTTTCTTAATCTCCTTGTTTTCTGTAAAATATTAAATAGAATAAACTGATTGCAGTATTGTTCAACAAGAAGTCATGGCCATTGTTTTGATATGTAGCCTATTTATAGATTTTTTAGTCCCCAAATAACCTACTTGGGACAACAATTTTTGATAGTTTTTTATTACAGTGGTGTGACCAGCTCTTTGGAAACTCATGCTACCCATATACTTGCTTTTCTTTTATATTATTATCATGTATGATTTGTAAAAAAAACGGTAACATTGTTCTGATCAAAATTAATATCTTTTTTTTTTCTACCAGAAAATATCAAAGCACATATGGAACAAATGACCAACAATCCTTCTCTATCACCTTTGCAAAGCTGTAGGTCAAATGTTTCAGATATTGATTCCTACATTGTTCTATTATTCAGACAGTTAAAGTTTTTTTGTTTCTTCTGGTTTTTTTTCTGTTTTTATTTCATTCATATTGCCACTACGTCATATATGTATCCAGTCTTTGTCATCTTTCCGTGAAATATTTTAAATATATTATTCCGGTGCAATATTATTTAACAAGAACCGACAGTATCGAAAATCGATATCCGATCTCTCCCGTGCAGCAATGATAAATTTATATAAGGATTCCGTTTTTATTATCTAAAAGTAATTTAAAAAAAAACAAAAAAAAAACAACACTGTTCAAAGAAGATCAATTCTGTCTTTCCCTTCATGCAAAAATATATCTTTAAGAATAAAAGGATATATTGAACATAAATCTATGAAAATAAGAAGATGGTATGATTGCCAATGAGACAAATCTCCACAAGTGACCAAATCACACAGGCTTTATAAACTATAGGTCACCATACGGCCTTCAACAATGAGTAAAATCCATACCGTATAAGTCAATAAGACAGCAGCCAGACGATCGAAAGATATATAGAGGACAACGTACAGTTTGTAACAAAAGACAGGTGGCCAAACAAAAGTTCAAACTCTAAATATTCTCAAGCCTGTTAAAATGTTCTCAAGCTCTTTTTATACGAGCGTACCTGATGTTAATTATCCAAAAATGTGTATTGTGCTCACTGGAAGCAAACCATTTAGTATTTTTCAACTCTTGCATAATACACATTTCAACTTCTTACTGTACACAAACAATCGATTTTCCCAATACATTAAAAGAGTCATAAAAAGACCATATATAGATGAAATACGACAGATGTCGGGTACGCGCTGAAGACATCAACCGTCAAACTTTGGAGGTCTTCTAAAGGTTTTGATATTTTCTAATACTGATTTTTCATTGGAAACGACGTACCTGCGTAATTCGACGAACGAATATATTGGGGCCGGTTATTGACAACCTATGAATATGTTTACCTCTCAAGTTGAATTTTCTAGTACCACAAGACTGTCAAAACCATACACTGATATTTTGGTCGATTTGAAGTAATTTTCATGTACTAAGAAGTTACTGTAATAAATATAAGTTTGCCGTGGCATTTTCAGTTAGTTTTTGACTTATGACCTCTCTTTCACGTATTTTTTTTTAAACACGATATTTTCAAAATTTCCACCTACATTGTTACCTTCATAAAATCACGATTGATTAAACTATATGTAAAATTACATGATAATTTATTATAGGATTAAACGCCTTTTTAAAGGAATTTATTGGTGTATGAACTCGACCAATTCACTCATAAATAAATAAAAGTTCGATATGTTTGTGAGCGACTTGGTCCAGTTTATACACCAATAAATTCATTTAAAAAGGTGTTTAATCCTTATAATTTTTTTGAAATTGGAGACAAGGAAATTTATTTTTCCACACTCGTAACCTCTATCAAACGTAAATTGTATATTTTTGTCATTGAACTGGCCTGGCGCATGAATATATTTGTCGGTGAACGGAAAAATAATATTTATATAGTCCATGAAATTTGCTATCTGATAAAGAATGAACTACAAAAACATCGTTTTATCATTCACATGAATGTTTTGTGTTTTTTATTTAATTTAAGTATTGACGCGAAGTGAAAATAAATATTTTCAACGTCGAGCTGGATTGTGTTAATATTATCGCCGCCATCTTGTTTACACTGGTTACAAAAAGTAGTTCGGTCAACGTCATCTATCGAAAAATAAACAACGTCAGGAAGTCCTTTCGACCAATCATATAAACGTATTCCCTTATATGCAATTCATATAAGAATTATTTTTTTGTCGATTATGCTGTGTGGATTCCTACTAAATATATAAAAAGTGCGTAGAGAACTTAGTTTAATATATATGAATACATTGGTTCAATAATTTCCTCAAAATAGTAATTAGCAGAAACTTGTTTCATTTGACTTTAAAGGGGCATCAGCTGTCAAATTCATATTCACCGATTTGACTCAAATTCTCATATTTGATTTATAACCTACTAAAACGTATATCCAGCTTACAAAAAGTCTAAAATGAACAATTTACAATGCATGAACTCGATAATATGTACTTTGTGTGTATTTTAGTCTAGACGCAATCTAATTAACCATTGAGGTGACCTCCGAAGACTGCTGACGGTCATATAACCCGATATAAACATTAATATAGATATAAATAGATAGCGAACACGTGCAATTGGATTTTTCTAGGTCTGTTTGGTTTCATATTATAGGTTAAACAAATATGTTAACCATCGTTTTTACCTGTATAAGAATGAGTTTTTGTGGAACGATTCAATCAACCAAATGGTTTCACTTTCAATGTTTACATTCTTTCCTTTTTAATAATTAGTATCTGAACACGCATAGTTAACGTGTAACCCATCTCTAGCTAAGGAGATAAATAAAAGGTCACATGAATACGGATTCAATGAGGTCGAATTTTTCACTTGCAAGGGATATTTCTTAGCTTATTTTGACAAAACTGAACCAAACTGGCTGCTTAAATCGAATTATCATTTCACTATTTCACTTTCACTTTAATGATAGAAAAAAAAATCATATTTTATTTTTTTTATATCTCGTAACTAACACTCCTTTAAGATTCATTAATTTTTTTATATTTTCAGACAAAATTTGAAATTGAATATATGGGTAAAATTAGATTTATTTATATTCACTGAAAAGGATAATGTCAATAAATTCACTCAATATTTCATATTAAGTTAAATCACGTCCTCTTTTCCTCGAATGTGACCTACCGAATTTGACTTATCATCGTGTTTGCACATACACGAACAACACGACGGATGCCACGTACTGAGCAGGATCTGCTCACCCTTCAGAAACATTTGAGATCACCCCAATGTTTTTGGAGGTGTTTGTGTTGCTCAGTCTTTGGTTTTTCTATGTTGTTTTTTTATACAATTGTTTGTCTTTTGGTCATTTTTCGTTTTTTTGCCAATGCATTGTCATTTTATTTTCGACTAATGAGCTAATACATAATAGAGGAGTATCAATTTTAAATATTATTTACTATACTATATAATAAATATGTTTCGGTGAACCATTTGGGTCGAACCAACTAAAACACTAACATCAGTACTGGTGAGAACTTATTGTCTTTCAATTCTGAATGGGTTACAAAAATATATCTATATTTAGCTGGAATCTTGATTGAATAATGAGATTACAGAAAATCTAATTATAATAAACTAAATAAAATCTATAAAAAGTTTTTTCTTTATATTTTTATAATCAGCTAGCTAGTATTATATTCAACAAATTATTTGAAGTATAACTCTAAGAGCACACTAATTGTAAAATGTTTCGATTAGACATGTTAAAGCTGCAAAAGTTTTTTGAGGGTTTCGTTGAGAAACATTCCTTCTGGGTCACATTCAGACTTCTTCAGTTGCTCTTTAAATTCGCCAATCTGACCTTTCATGCGCTGTAAAATTAAAAGAAAAACAAACTGTTGAGGGTAGAATTTAAAATTATTAAAAAAAATCTCACAGTTGTCTAATATAAAGGGGTAATATTACATAAATGAGTGTGTGGATGGGGGTTAACAGAATAGTGAATAATGGGTAAAAAATATAAAGAATATAGAAAAAATGGACCAATAAAATAAAGAATAGAGAATGATGAGGTGCTAAAATATAAAGAATAGAGAAAAATGGGCAATAAGTATAAAGAATAGAGAAAAATGGCCTAAAACATTAAAGAATACAGAAATTGAGGACCCCCATCCAGACACTCATGATATCAAAAACGTATGATACATTACACTTATTTATCGGTTATAAATGACCGATGTTTTAGTTTAAGGATGTTCGCTTCATTGTTTCAAAATAACAAGCTTTATAAAAGACTTATTAATTGATAGTATATAAATAAAGGAACTAAAAAAGCAGAAAAAATGACGCGGACCGTGTGCTTGTTTTTGAGATATAAGCCATTGAAAATTTTGCGGGAAATGGTTCTCTGTATATTTTTCATACATATAACATTGGCACCTTTTTTCTTTCAAAAACAATGAAAAAATAATAAAGATTTTGTAAGATTTTCAAATATGGCCTTTCAAACTATATGTAATTAAATTTTGAAAAGAAAAGTAGGGGTTAGCGGGCAAAATTTTTAATGACACTACATGGATAAAACAAGAGGATTCCAAATACCTGACAAACATTCAAAAACAAGAGGAGCAAACATCCTTAATGCGCACTATAAATACTTTCAAAAAGCAGTATAAAGAGAAGACTACTGTACATAGAATTACATTGATTACATTGGCTTGATTATAAATGTTTCTATATCCCCCCATTGCAATTCATTATAAATTTTGACCCGATTGCAATTTGTTTTATCAACCCTTACACATACAATCAAGTCGCTGTTTTACTCTACGCTACGTGCTTGTTAATTTTCCCTATATGTAGTCAGTATATATTAATATTGACTTTTAGTGTATTTATAGTTGCTTATTCGTATTTCTAATGTGCGATATGACAAATTATGTTTAGAGGAGATCAACGCATGAGTGTGTAAAGATGTCGATATTTGTATCTATATATGATATTGGCTCCACTGATGAGACTTGAGAAGATGAAACGCGGGTCTAGCATGCCAAATTATAGTTCTGTAAACACTCTTTGTTTAAAGTAAAGGGCCTGTTATTCACTGGTTGTAGTTCGTAGATGTCTGTCATATTTTTTTTTTAATTATTGTTGTTTCAGATATCAGGCTGTTTGTTGGTGTTTTTTTTTTCGTTTTAATTGTTTCATATTCATCCTGTCAGGGCCTTCTATAGCTGACTATTTGTAATTGTTTTTTTTTTTTTTTTTTTTGAAGGCAGGAAGGTGACCTATGGTTGCGTAAAGCCTCTTTATTTCGTTCTGTTGGATAGTTGTCTCATTTGTAATCTTATAATATCTCCTTATTTCATAAAAAAAAACTATTATTTATACGTCATTGTTTTTGTCCATGAAATCCCAATCTAATTTAAATTAAATCTTTTAATTGCTCCCGTTCGGATATGTTGCGCATCATATCAGAAGGGGATCAATTAAAAGATTTAATTCTAATTAGATTGATGAAATCCTAATATTAGTCGAATTACTAGGATTGTTCTACCCAAGGTTTAAAAATAGACGGCCCTAGCCATATTAGGTAACATTTTTGAAATGTTTGGTTTTCAATGATTTTTAACGCCCTTATTGATTTGGCATTCCTACTGTTTTGGTAAGGGCACCTGTAATTAGTTTTGAGTAGACGAAACGCGCGCCTGGCATACTTAATTACAAGCATGGAATATTTAATGAGTAATCCATTTATGTGTTAAGTATACGTTGTAAAATCTTGTATTGTGTCATGATAATTCTGAAATGGAAAGAACCTTAAACGTTTGAAACGTGTGCTAAGTTATTTTTCTTGTTTTGAGAGAAACTTATGTTTAAAAATACTAAGAATTTGAATTTACTAGAAACAAAAACATTTTTGTAATAACACTTTAGCCGAAGTTTTGCTTTGCAACTAGTTCTTCGTACCTCGTAAATATGCTTGTTAATTCCAGGGATAAAATCCCACTGTTTGGCTAAATGTGGAACACCATCTAACTTCATCCATTCTAGTGCTACCTCTTTGCAAAACCTTTCCCATCCATCAGTGTGGACAATGCTTACCACTTCTACAAACAGCACGTGACGAGATCCATTATAATCAGGATTTCCTATTGAAGCAGGACAAAGAAGTGCGTCGCTAAAAAAACATTTTAGAATTAGAAATATAAGACATAAAGGACTAATTAAAAGTTATCAATTAAAAAGGGTCAGCAAACAATGATTTTCAAACGAAAATTAAGAAATTGTCTGCAAAACATAACATGAAAATTTTATTGTTGCCAGCACGAACAAAGCTAAAATAGTGTAGATGAAGGACAAGAACACAACCGAATAATTAACACTATCTTATAGGGACAAGAGGTTTAAATACATGATAGGTTTAAGAAGAACAGAGTATTGATATTTCACTTATTGCAGATTTTTTAAGTTCAGATAACTGTATACAATATAGATAGATTAATATAGTACTGGATTTTTTTATTTTCTAACTTGTATTCTGCGGTTGAATTTATTCCAAATAATAAGGATGTTCTTGTCCCAGGCAGAAAACCCTGGCCGTGTTAGGCGCAACTTTTTGGAAGTTTTGGTCCTCGGTGCTCTTCAGCTTTGTACTTGTTTTGGCTTTCAAACTTTTTTCATCTGAGCGTCACTGGTTGGTCTTGTGCGGACGAAACGCACGTCTGGCGTATTGAATTTTAAGCCTAGTACCTTTTGTTAGCTATTATTCGTGTGTTTCTTTGTCCTATATGTTCTCCCATTTATTTGTATTGTGGTCCTGTCATGTGATGTTGTCGTTTTGGTGTTGTGTTTGACGTTGCCATAACAGCGGGAGGTTTGGCATGCCACAAAACCAGGTTCAACCCACCATTTTTTTTCTTAAAATGTCCTGTACCAAGTCAGGAAAATGGCCATTGTTATATTATAGTTCGTTTCTGTGTGTGTTACATTTTAATGTTGTGTTTTTGTTGTGTCGCTGTTCTCCTCTTATATTTGATGCGTTTCCCTCAGTTTTAGTTTGTAACCCGGATTTGTTTTTATCTCTATCGATTTATGAGTTTCGAACAGCGGTACACTAATGTTGCCTTTATTGAAGCTGTTTCTTAAGTAAGTGAATATGGAGCATTATCTTACCTCCTAAACATTTCTAGGAATATGATTGGTTAAAAGCAACCGCGTTGAGACCGTGTATATTTCATAAGGAGTTAACTTAGTAGGCGGGGCTTATTTCAATACACGGTTAGTAGTGGTGTTTCGTCCCTTTATAAAAAAATAACACGGCGCTGAAGAAAAAAATTGAAACGTTTCGCCGGGACAACAGATGTAGAAATTGATGATGAACGATTGAAATAAATGCAGAAAACAAATCAAAAGCTAACAAGATGTTGTTGTTGGCATTTGTTTTTATATAGACAAATGAAAGTAGGTTCTTTATATTGAAGACTTGAACGCTTTGATAGGCCACTAGTCTAAATGCCACATGTTAAGATAGTCGGTATGATAAATTCGTTACACAGTGTGCTAGTGACCTAATACGATATATATGGGGTCAGTAAATTTTACATATATCGTATTAGGTATAGAATAACTAGTAATATTGCTTTTTTTGTTATGATATTTACCTATAACCCATCATTCGCATTTCAAGTGCGATATTCAATGGATACTCCCCTTTTTCCTTGTAATGTTGTACTTTGAGAACTACGACTTCAATAATCTTCTTTACTTGGTGATAGTTCTTCAAATCGAAGGCAAATTCCATGTCATACATAGGGGCCATGCGAATGTTCTGTCTGTGATGAACGTGATAAAATTAACTAACAAGCACACCAATAACATATTTTTGTATCTAATTTAGTGTAATCGATTAATATGTAACGTTTTCTAATCAAACTAAACCATCTGTTACACTTAGTACATATATAACGTTTTGCATTTGATAGTGTATGGTTCGATAGGGTTATTAAATGTCTTTCAATGTAAAACAAAATCGGGTTCAAGTAATTGAAAAAATTCAAAATATTTTCATTGTTTGCATTTGGACAATTATAATGAAGATAAAATACGTTGAGGGGACATTTTATAGGAATAGCATGCTAGTCGTATGTAACTCCATTACGTCATAAAACACCAAAGACACAAGCTTGATGATGTATTATACCTCATCTCCTTATTTTTATATTAGTATTGGAATAAAACTTCAGATTTTGATTACTCACGACAGATATTCCAATAAAAAGGTATACATCCGGCTTTCTGGACAAATAAGCACAGAAATGAATAAAACAATAACTATTTTTTGCTATGCCAAGAATCAAATATTTCATCTAGTTCTAGTTAAAATAATTATAATTTTTTTCAAATAGCTATTTAAAGAGAATTCTATTAACAATTTTACTTTATTATGCCATTTCGAGTATGATCTGTTCCACCGGATGTTGTTTTAGTTGCCAGAAAGATAAACACTATGCGTGGTTTGTTTTCCAAATTAATTTCAGGTTACTTATAAAAAACTACAATTTTCATTCCTATCAGATTAATAACAAAATGCAAAAAATGATACAAATATAACTATAGGTGCCAAATATCGTAGCGTTTCTATATTAAAATCAGGAAAAATCATACTGTTTATATCCTTACTCCAGACTGTTTAAACAGCCATACATAGGACATGAACGTATATATGTATAGTTTATCCGGTTTTCTACAGATTGATATCGTAAAATGTCAGCGGCGAGTCACTATGTGAACCTTTTTTAGCGAAAGCAGCAAACGTAAAAAATATTTTCACATTGTGTCGATCAGCTGATGTTTTACAATATCTATACGTAGAAAACCCGATAATCTGTTTATCGTTCTATTACTGGTCTTTTCCTTTCCCTTAAACAGTTTTACGCTTCACGAAAGCAAGCTTGCTAACGTCTCCTCACACATTGTGACGTCGCTGATAACTTCTCAGACATTGAGACGTCGGTGATAATGTCTGATAACGTCTCACAGCCATGATACGAGAATTACGGATCGAATGATCATGTTGAAATAGGCAAAGGAAAGGACGATAGAAAAATCTTACCTGAAATGAACAGCGTTTGGAAGTTGCTGATAGATTGGACCGGTAGGATATATAAGGTTCTTTAACATGGCGAACGATATCCATGAAAACAGTGGAGTTATAGAAGGCTGTTCAGCTAGTGTTGGTGACATCAAGTAAAGAGATTCCTCGGACATCAAATCAATCAGGTCTTTCCTGTTGTAATAATCCTTCTGTTTTATGTCTTCATTCTCTTCATTCCCTTCTTTATTTATTACTCTGATCCAGACTTCATCATCTTCGGGCTTATATGCAACTTGAGGCCTTTCCGAGTTGAACGGAAACCAAAACATCTCAACCGACATGTTCTCCTCAAATATTTTTTTCATTTGTTCAACATCGTAGAATATATTCTTTAATTTTATGTATTGGTTTTCTACTTTGACGATGTCCTGTTGTTTAAGTTCAATAGTCATGTCGTAAATAACTCCAAAACATCCGAAGTTTGCCTGTATCGCTTTGAACATTTTGCTGTCTTCATTTTGAAAGGTTTTTAGATTTCCTTTTGCGTTCATTATGCGCATTTTCACTACATAGTCACTCGGTGCCTTTACATCATATCCTACGCCCTAAATGCACAAATAATTGGATATGTAAATAATTAAATGTGGCAAATGTTTTGAAAGATGACCAACTTCAAACAATACTAAAAGACAAAAGAATATGCAATATCTATGCTTTAAAAATAAACAGCAAAACCGTTGTACCGTTATTTTAATATCCTTAGAACAGAGAACATATTTTCTAATAACATCAAATGTGCTTGCAATTTTATTGGCTGTAAACAATGTAGAATTAACTGTGCTATATATGTAATATTTATAAATATGCCCATCCCTTAAACGTGCTCATTCTGCCAAACGTGTCCATATGATGTTACTTATCTCCCAAACAAGTCTAGTTGCCAAAGGACGCCAAAACGTGTCTTTTTTCATAAACACCTAATCATGTCCTTATCAAAATGAACTCCCAAAATATGCACCCTTTATAAAAACGTGATTCGTTATCACATTATTAGGTATTTAGAGAGAAAATCAAGTCGCATTTCATTTACAGTATTTTATTTATATATATCAAATTCAATACAAAACGGATATAAACATATATTCCTTTTGAAACTCTTATTATTTCAAGACATACACAAAATTTATATTGTAAAGTTAAATATTAATTAAACATCTTGAACACTTATACTGACTTAAAAACCAAATGCACCAATTTATTGTCACTTTGTGCAAATTTTAATCGCGTTCCGGGAAGAAATGTTTTTTGTGTGTGTCGTCCGACTTACTGCAATGGTTGCTTGATAGAACGTTCAACACTACATGCACTTACTTCATCTGCACCAGATAGAGTTTAGACAATAACTGTATATTTAGTGATGCTCAAGGACAAACTATTAGTATATTATCTTACACCAATTGCCTCAATAAACATTGATGCCAAATTAAACTCAAATGTATGACTAATGCCTAATGATCAGTATTTTTCCATTTGTAAATTCTAAATTCGTCATCGATATGGACGAAATATTTGCAACCGTGATAACATTAAGATTTACACTATAAATTTCTTGATTCCTTGTAAAAATACAATTTGTAATTTGTTTTATCCTTCAGTCTACGAATCATCTGACCATTTGCAATTGAACGAGGTCACAATCTTTGATTTTCTTCTTTTAACTCAGTAACTCTTTTAATCACCGGGAATTGTCCTCTGCATTGATGTCATTGTATAGCGGTTTTCATACTTTTTATTTGTTCTTTGGACCCCAACAGAAACCCAACTTCATAATTGTATTTGCCGTAGACGGCACATAAGACATATAAGCGCCCAAAGTTGTGAGACCTATTTGCGTCTTAAAGTGGACACGTTTCGGTGAATAACAATTGTCGAACACGAGGAAAAAAATGGACACGTTAGAGCGAAATAAATAATTGGACATGTTATTGGCATCAATTTGTCATCCTTAATAATAGACTTGTTCTTGTATTGTAATGAATCTCAGGTTTTGACTTAAGGTGGTACCTAACACTACAGGGAGATAACTCTGTAAAAATCAACTAAACGTTTTAATCACGTTGTATTGTTAAGGAAATATCAAGCTTCTCAATGATCAAAATTAGTGTTTGTCAAACTGCTATATAACCAGTGAAATTTTTCTGATAAAGTGGTTGGTTCAAATTATTTGAAATTTTTATATTTTTGTCAAAGGGTCAAAGTAAACATTTTGTCAAAATTTTAGGAAAATTAAACGAGCCAAATTAATATTAGTCAAGGTGTTGGGTACCACCTTAACTCAGAAAAGATCCGTGTAATTTGCATTAAATAGATACCGTTATCTAATAGCATATTTGCTTTATATAATAAAACATTTTCTAATTATACTGCCTAACTTTACTGAAGGATGGCAAGTCTATTTTCCTATTAACAATTTGATTCTGGTGTGTTTGTTTATTCTACGTTGGCTAGAGGTATAGGGGGAGAGTTGTGAGATCTCACAAAACATGTTTAACCCCGCTGCATTGTTGCGCCTGTCCAAAGTCAGGAACCCCTGGCCTTTGTTAGTCTTGTATGTTTTTCAATTTTGATTCATTTTTATGTTTCGGAGTATAGAGTGACGTTCATTTTTCCTGAATTAGTATACATTTTTGTTTAGGGGCCCGTTAAAGCCCGCCTCTGGGTGCGAGATTTTCTCGCTGTATTGAAAACTCATTGCTGGCCTTGGGCTGTTTTCTGCTCTTTGGTCGGGTTGTTGTCACATTTCCCGTTTCCATTCTCAAATTTATTGCACAACTTTTACACCGGTTGTTTCCCTTTGCCAATTGTAGATAGGTTCCATACCGGACAAAAGGGGCTGCTGCCCATACAAAGAATTGTAAGTTGAAAGTAATATATAGTATTTGTAAGCAATTTTGATTAAAAATAACTATTAATATCTTATTTTAAACTTTACAATAAATTAAATGGATTTTAAAAGATTTGAAAACGTTATAGATTAAACATATTTGGCACGGACAAGTATGTTTTTTCCGCTTTCTCCTTGTTGTCAATGAAAATATGTGTACGTCGTTAGAAATATTTGATCTAAGGAGGATATAATCTCTCGAAAAAGATCTTAAATATAGAAAATTGATATATTGGTACCAAACGATAAACGAAAAGTTGTAGTTCAAATCGCGCCGTACTCACTATTGCAGCTGGATATTTTGTTTCACTTTGAATGTTAACATTCACACACACTCATCTATTGTCTACTTTACTTCGTGGACTTCAAGATTTTAGAATAATACAAGCGTCGTTTGGTAATATATTGGTATTACATTCCAGATTTTTAATGAAAATCAGCATATACTAATAAGACTTCATTTTATTTTGTACTGATGAAGGACATTTAAACAATATGCATAACCATTATGTTATTATAACGCATTTTATAAACTTCAAACTACTAGAATGACTTTAGATATATAACATGTTTAAGTAATACTCACATGGCAACCTGTTGCTACAACACTTATCATCTGAACAACTTCTAGAATAACATTTGCAGGAATATTTAACTTTTTCTCTAATTGGAAATCCTTGAATTCACGTGCCGTCACACCGGGCATAATGTCTACATGGTTAACGGTACCCTGTATTATAATAATTTATATATGACACACACACGTTTCACTGTGGTGTAATGGTACACATCTAAGACATATACAAACTGTTTAAACGAAATATGTACTTCACTTCTTCGTACTATGAACATCAAAATTATTTCATTTTTCCTTAGATGCTGTTCTTGGACCTGTACAGGAAGTTTTATCTAGCATTAATTGTATAGTTTTATAGTTGATATTCACCCCGTATGTACCAAGTGTGAGATTAGTTTTATTGATATTAAAGAAATTTCTTAGTATTCCTAAACGGAAGATTTTATACACACAGAAGAAGAAGTATACTTAACAACAAAATTATTTTCATTTACCTGTGTATAATATGACGCAGGTTTCTTCAAAAGTGATGATTTTCTAAAAATTGTTTGACATTTCACAGTGATATCATACTTTAACTTTGTTTAAACCTGTTTATTTACTTTTGACTTTAATTATTTATCCCTTGTAGTTTTTTATTAACTGTGTATTTGCATTCAGGTGTCACAGGTCAAATTTATTCGTTCATTGTGTGTTAATTTACGTTTTTTTATTGAGTTAAGCCTTCCAATTGATATTTTATAGTGTGTTTTTCTATGTTGTGATGTTATACTATTGTTTGAGAAAAGGGAGAAGGTTTGGTACCATTAAAACCTTTAATCCCGCTGCAAATGTTTGCACCTGTCCTTAGTCAGGAATCTTATTACAGCAGTTGTCGTCTGTTTGTGTAGTTCATACGTTTTTCTCGTTTCTCGTTTTTATATAGAGTAGACCGTTGGTTTTTCCGTTTGAATGGTTTTACACTAGTAATTTTTTAGGGCCCTTTATAGTTTGCTGTTCGGTGTGAGCCAAGGCTCCGTGTTGAAGACCGTACCTTGACTTATAATGGTTTACTTTTATAAATTGTAACTTGGATGGAGAGTTGTCTCATTGGCACTCATACCACATCTTCCTATTTCTAACTACGAATATGCTAGTGTTGTGAAATTTTCAATGTGTATTGATTTGACTATTTGATTTTTTATTAGTTTTGAGAGAAGACTAAAATCTTTATTTTCTTTACTCAGCGGAAAGTCTCATAAAATGAATTTTTGTCATTTTACAAGATCATGTCGTTATGCATTTTTTAATTACTTTAATTTTTGTTTTGATGATTACATATATAAGTAATTGCAGGACTGAAGAAAACTTTCCTTATGTTGTAGGGTTTAGCACCCCCTTTTCAACATGATAGCTGAAAGGTGTGAAAAAATTCAGCTATCGAGATTTCCTTTCAAATTAAATATGTGTTATCAGACGATTTTAAAAGAAAAAATTACTATGATATTTATTGGCGTAACTGTTAGCTTATCGATTAACAAGGGATGCGAAATCGCAAACGGTACATAATTGGATTGTAGATTACTGCAAAAATATATATATTAAAGCGTTTCATCCCTTCAGTTTTAAGACTCTAGTCCTGGTCTAAAGTTTACAATCGTTTGCCTTTCTATATTCTTTGTTGTTGTTCCGTTGAACCATGTGAACATTGGGAAAGTCGAAATAAATGTTAATTCGGAAGGTGTTTACCCGCCCAAAGTGTTATATGCACACATATTAGAAGTTGCTGTAGTCTTGTAACGGATTTGTTGTGTACGAAATGTCATGTTTGAGCAATTAAAGTCCCGTTTATACTAAAAGTATGACATTTGCATGACAACCATAACAGCAAATTTAAATGCATACATATATGAAGATAGAATTTAAAGAAGCACAAATAAAAATTCATTTATTTATTGACAGTTTTGCCAAAAAATTATTTTGAATATAGAGTGAAAGGGACTTGTTGTATTGTATCTGTTTAATAAATTATTAATACAAAAATTGAATAACATAAGATGAAAATGTGATAAAAAAAATAGTATTTGCACCCTCCCTCCTTATATAAAAAAAACTTCTCATATGTTATATTTGTTTGCAGTTGTTTTAATTATGTTAATTGAATATTTTTGAATTGTTTTAATATTATTAGTGGTATTGCCATGTTTTGTATATATGGTATTTGGGCCTTTAATTGGTATTCTTCTTTCTATCATAAGAATTTCATATATCTGAACATATATGCGGTGGATTGATAAAATGTTAATAGTTCATGTTTAGAACTATTACACTAGTTTCAATTCTTCTATACTTATCGCCTTTTCGTCCATCAATAGAAACATATGCAATACATATACTTAATATTACATTCTTACATCAAAGATACGGATTATTATTAGTTCGACAAAACGTTATAGACATTTGTTTTCGTACGATAACATCCTTTTTCTTCCTCTTTTCCTCTCATTGTGGTTTGAGGTAGTGTCTATCTAATGTATACCATTCATTCATGATTATTGCTATACTCAATACCATACTTTATATCATAAGATACCGAAACAAATTTGATGCGCAAGTCTAAATTCATGTTTTGACAGTGATAGCAAAAGCTAATATTAGATATAAAACAATATCGCATTTAAGAAAACAGTAACCCAAAAAGGAACACAAATTAAAAATAAAAAAACGAAACAAATGTGTATCGAAAGAATAATCATAAAAATAAATTTCATACTTTGTCTCTTGATTGAAATTTTTCGAGTGACAATATATGGGAGTAAAAGTTAATGGCTACCGATGTGTTTTTGGAAACATCAAGTGTTCTTACTTCCCCTCAGCAATGACTGTGATGTAGGGTAAAAACATATGCAAATCAAAACTGCAATATCATAAACTACCTATTGTACTGAACTAGATACGCATTTCGACAATTTAAAATTGCTCTTCTGTGATTCTCTAGGCCAAAGTTGTACCAACATTAAAGAGCTGATAGAACATTTTATTCAACATGAAAGATCCAACAATACTTACAGGAGATATTCTAATTCTGGACCCATCTTCGTAATCGCTTTTTATGTTTTCCATGTAAATAAGTAAGTTGTTCCTGTCTGAAAATATTGGCGACCAGCTATGTCCACTTCCAGCACATCTTACACTCAACTTCTCCTCAGATGCCACTTTTAGCAATCTTTTCAATTCTTCTAATGTAGTAGGAACGGATGCAATAACTGGAATAGTTTGTGTTTGCCCCCAGTTTCGAAATGTCTCTATCCATACAGGTGGCTTGTTTTCAATGCTTTTTTTAAATCTGTGAATTATCCATTTAATATCGTCCTTAAACAAAATTTGTGTATTCTGTAAAACGCTTACCTTTGTAAGCTTTTATCACAAATATTCAAAGAAATACTATTCATTAATAGTTTGTTTAGGCCAAGTTCTATTTTTTTTTTGGTTTCCGTGTACCCTAAAGTTTTCTATTTGTAATGCAGCATACGAGTATAAGTCCTTACTTCATCATAATGTTACTGTAGAACACTCTCTTTTAACGTAATTGACGCAAAAATTTAATTTAGAATGTACGGTATGTATTTCAATTTATATTCTTTTTCTTGCATTTTTGGCAAATTTCACATATTTTTTTGTAACCTTTTTTGCATTTTTTTGTAAATCCTATGGATTTATTCATTTCTGTTTTCATTTCCCATTCCTTATAGTATGTTATCAAACATGTCGAAAAGCCTTGGTTACATAATTAGAAAATATTACAGTATATGGTCCATATATTTTCCAGTCGCACCAAATGTTTGCTTTGGTGCTTATTAGAAAATAATGTTCGTTGTTAGAAATATTTACAAAATAAAACCAATCGTTACAGGAAAAAATCTACAATATATAATTTAGATCATTAATTATTTTGCTTTTTGTTTCTATGAAAAAACATGTTTTTGATCAGAGATTTTAAAAAACTGCTGAAAAGATAATCATCAAGTGCAAAGTGATAAATTTAAGCGTACTCACAATCCATTAGGATTTGAATTCCACTAACGTGTAGCTAAATATTTCAATACATATTCGTATTCTAATGAGTAGTTAGAGAGGTGATAGGTAGTAATTTTTGAATTGTTGTAAAAATGTCCAAGCTAACTTTTCGTATTATTTTATTTCTTCTATATTTATAAGAATCAGACATCAGATTGAAATGAAATATTTTATATTCAGTAAAAGATATGCGAAGTTACAATATGGTGTTAATAAGTTTTCAGTGTGGAGATAATCTGATATATATTCCTCATAAAGACTGGACTCACTATCTTATCTACCTTTAAAACTTCATGAACACATATGTTTGTTAAAAGTATATTTCATGGAATATTTTAGGTTTTGATTTAATGAGAGCTTTTAAGAATGTATAGAAAATTAACATCTAGAAGAATCATTCAAAAACTTTCATTTTATACTATACTAATACGTTTTACCTTTACCTTTTTTAGAAAGGAGATATCAACTATCGTAATGTTCTCTAATTCGATGCGCCCAGTCATCTTCGATGCTGCCTTCTGTAGGTATTGCAATACGGTTTCCCTGCTGTGCCCTCTCCAAAACATCTTTCAGTTGTTCAATACTATCTGGTTTCACATGTAATACCTACACGAAGAGCAAAACCGTTATGATTGCTAATGCATACATAATTCAAACTAAATAAAAACCGAGTACATTTTGGAAATTATTTGAATAAGATACATGAATATTCTTTCCGGATGAAAAGTGTATTTTGGAACACGTATCGATTTCAGTCGTGTAATTATGCACCTTATGTTATACTTTCTTTCTTCATTTTATGACATACCAAAAAAAAAAATTGACATTTTTCACAGAATCAATTTTAAGCACAAAGAAGATACACCTTTTTTTTTAAATTTCAACTATATCAAAAAAATCGAAGATATCTTTTTAATAAAAGAATCGGAAAAATACCACTTGAAATGATATACCTTTATTCAAGATTATTTATTAAGATATAAGACAGAAATTGTTTTTTCACAGGGGATATATATTTACATTTAACACCATAATCGAATTTTAGTATATATGAAATAGGTTTTTTTTCCGACAAAACATTATACGTATGCTCTTTTTTAACATCTATAATTTAATGAGCTACAAAATGACACTTGTCAACTACGAAAAAAAGTAAAATACCAAAAATCCTAACTCCAAGGAAAATTTAAAACGGAAAGTCCCTTATCAAATGGCAAATTTTAAAGCTCAAACACATCAAACGAACGGAAAACAACTGTCATATTCCTGACTTGGTACAGGCATGTCCTTATGTAGAAAATGGTGGATTAAACCTGGTTTTATAGCTAACTAAACCTCATACTTGCAGCAATATAACAACTTCACCTATACATTCCCCAACTCATTCGGTATTCAAGAGCTTGCAGCTGCTACTCAGACTTTATAAAACGTCACCGGTGTCTGAACAGAAAGTTGATGAGCCAAGGTAATGTCAAAGAACGTCTTGTCTTTTTTCTAAAAACGTTCATTGGAAGATACCGATACCTTGTTGATAAATATTCCCTTTTAACTTCACAAATAATACATGATGATCTTGAAGTAGAGATTATAGGTACTGGCGTTGTTTATCATCTTAATTACGTGTTAAAGGTTCCCCTTTTTTAGTCCTTGTATATTTTAAACTTTTACTGTTTAGTCCATTTTTGATTATATTCATGACGTGATTGTGTTATTGTGCTATGGTCAATTTTGAATTCTTGTGTTTCATTTTTGCTTATGTACTTTATATATATGCCATTTTGTGTTTCTTTGTTGAAACAGTTATTTGTTTTTATAGTGATTAAGATTATATTACAATTTTGACTGCTGTACCCCAATTTTTGACGTTTTTACCTATTATGTCTGTTTGTTTTGCTCACACATTGTTGTCAATATAATGGAATTCAATACGACAGTCCCACAAGTGAAATGTTTAGCTAGTTTAAAACCAGTATTAATCCATCATTTTCTACACAAGGTAATGCCTGTACCATGTCAGGAATATGACAGTTGTTGTCCATTCGTTTGATGTGTTTGAGATTTTGATTTTTCCATTTTATAAAGGACTTTCCGTTTTGAATTTCCCTTGGAGTTCGGTATTTTTGTTATTTTAATTTTTTGCATGACAGTCGCATAAAATTCCATTATATTGACAACAATTCGTGCACAAAACAAACAGACGTAATAGGTAAAAGTGTCAAAAATAGGGGTACAGCAGTCAACATTGTGTTATAATCGTAATCACTATAAAACAAACAAATATGTCAATAAAGAAAAACAAAATGGCATATAGAAAAAGCACATAAGCAAAAATGAAAGACAAGAATACAAAAAATGACGATAGCACAATAACACAATGGCGGGATGAATAAGTACCGAGCCACGCCAAAAGGAAAAATACTTATATGTTATGTACTGGAATGTTACAAAGTTCCAGTATGCACATGTAACTGGAGAATTGTCGTATAAAATCTATCATAGTGTGGAGATTACCTGATTCCAATAAATGTTTTTTTAACAACCATAAGTTTTCATGAAGTTTTAAAGGTAGATAAGATTGTGAGTCCAGTCATTGTGAGGAATAGATATCAATTATTTAAATGAGAGATTTAGCTAGCTATAAAACCAGGTTTAATCCACCATTTTTTCATAAGGAAATGTCTGAACCAAGTCAGAAATATGACAGTTGTTTTCCATTCGTTTGAGCTTTTGATTTTGCCATTTGATCTACCGTAATTTCCACGGTTAGAGGTAAGAGACATTTTCAACAACGTGTCATAGTAGCAGTCGATGTAGTTATCGACACCATAGAAACCTTTTTGAAAATATATTCGAATTATCCTTCTAACTTACTGTTTTACAACTTACATTCTGGGTGGAACCCTTATATGCCATTTCCAGTTTCTGTCTGATAAAAAAAGAAAATAGTAGATGATTCAGCAAGTAAGTAGTACATTCTGACAAACGAACACACATACAAGCACAGGAAAATATTTATTACAGAAAACAGAAAGCACCATGATCGAATGGAAAAGACAACTAGTGGCTTTATAAAGCATGTGTTGCTCAGCTGGAAATATAAAATCGTCACCAATGGCTACACTCTAATAATTTCGACACGAATATACATTATGAATAAAATCTCTATTCTCTTGATTTTGGATGGATGATAATTTTTGGTGTTTAAAATTTTCTAAATATCTACCATAGCTTTTGTTAAAAACGCACAAAATTGGTAAAAATCGTCATTAAAAGCCATAGATCATATAAGAAGTGCAATGAAAATTTGAATAATATTGACATATTTGAAGGTTTTGCTGAACAATTTTACAGATGAATGTTTCTCTCTATCTTATAGATTTTTCCTATATACATATAACATTGTCATTTATTTTTCTAGTAATATTTCCTGTTTACAGTTTTTTCCACTTTAGTTTTTGTCACAAATGCAGAAAATGACCATTGAAGGATAATAATTCTTGTCTCGTGTGTATATTCGAGTTTGAGCTGTTTAGATCAAAATTAAATATTTAAGACCTATCTTATCATATACGCACTTAATAGGTTGCTCTGTTAATGAAAAAAAATAAATGATCATTTTAGTTTTAACTGATCATATTATTTGATGAAAGGATGTAGCCATAAGTCATGACAAACTATCATGATGCCACATAAGTGTAGAGCGTAAACGTGTGTTTACGTTTATCAACAACAAACAGACATGGAAACCCAGGAATATTTCAACATGACAGCATCAAATTATCTTGTACAATTACGGAACTGAGAGTGGAATACCAAATGAACTATAAGTACAGAAGTTATTTAAAAGTTTAAAATAGTAATTGGAATAACATATTGAATGAGAATAACAGAGATTAACAATTCAAATTGAAACATTATACATATCTGAAGCTCTGTTTCGAACATTTAAACAAGCATCTTATTGCAGACTCATATGAAATATTGACTAATAACTTAGTGTCATGATTGTTTAGGCATGAAATTAAAAGAATCAAAATAAAATCTGAAATTCTACACATATAAAACGGGTGGAAAGTAACACAGCTCAGACAACTTCATAAAAAAAGGGTTCAATTCAGAATCTGGTGTGTATGTAGTTAGAAAAATTGTCACTTTATATTTATGCTGACAACATTTATGTAACTCTACATGTAACTACATCATTATAATGAATTCCAATCCACCTGCAGTTAACACTTTCAATGTCATGTTATGCTGTCCAATTGGATAAAGAAACTTGACGATCTTCATTGCCGGCGCCAAAATTGCAGTAAAACCAATATTACTGACATTAAGGGATTTACATATATTGATTGTATGAGCTTTCCTCAATTATGTTTGGGGATGCTCCGTTATAGCTAGCTTAACTACACTTGCATGAAAGTCGCATAAATTAGTTTATTCACAATTTAATGAAATTAAGCACACAAAGGAAACAATCGAATATAATTCGGTGAGTCCACAAATTTCGGAAACGTTCATTTAAGAGAAAGAAACAACGGTAAATGAAAAGGGCTGACGTCATGACATTAGTTAATTTAATTCACACAACGCAAAAATCATTTATACAAAAATATCAAATATTGTAAATATATCCTTTCCTTTGTGATCTGCAAAATTAAGGGCATACGATACAGTTACAGAGGAGGTAACGACGTTGCTATATTATTTTTCGCGACGTCAAACTGTGACTCGGGAAAAGATGCATTTTTCGACTGATTTTAATCATTAGCTTGAAAATGAGAGATTGACCCCTCATTTTTAAAATGGCATTTGCCAGTTTGTATAAAAAACACACAGATGATTTTTTTTTAAATTCGATAAATATACAGCAAATAATGGCCTTTTTTCAAAAATCACGAAACTTTGATAAAAGGAATAATTTCCAAAAAAATGTTACTTAACTTCAGAGCATACTTGTGTAAACAAGATTTTCCAAATGTTTTTACAAAAATCCGCCTTTGTATCTTTTAAAACAAAAAAGTTAAGTATGTCTATCAAAACGGTAGAAATGTCCAAGATACCGACATCTTGGGTAAATGTCTAAAACTCCGATCCCATTTATCTCTGAAAGTAGCACATGAAGGTATATTTTTATGACATATATGAATTGACTAGGTAGAAAATACCTTGTAAGCAAATTTTCGTAAAAAAAATCACCGTGTGAACAAAACCGTATCGTATGCCCTTAAGATATGATCTACAGAAGTTGTCAGGTAAACAGGATAAATGTTGGTCAAAAAAAAGATATTTGATCTAATAATATTAAATGTTAAAATCAAGGTAGTGTGTTCTTATTGGGAAACTTAAAAATAGTTTTAAAAAGTTTCTCTTCTTTATTAATACAAGTAAATGGGAAAATACATTTGTTTGATAACAATTATTTGTAAACGACGACTTTCATTCACGAACTACAAAAACAATAAAAAAAAATATATTGAGTACATTTTAACAGTTTACTCAATGCTTTTAAAAATACAATTATCATAAAAATAAGCATTAAAAGTTTGACGCGCATTGGGCTGTCTAACGCAGCCTTGTCTTTAGCATATGTCTGTCATCTATTTTAGTCTAAAGCAGATATGATGTCAGAACCGATGAAAAGCAGACCCATGTAAAAGTCTGTTATGAAGCAGACATGTCCACAGTAGTGCTAACAAGCATACTTATGTCTTATTTATCACTTATTATGTTAACTGTCTGGCATCACTGCTCTAAATAAAGTTGACGTCACAATGTTAGTCCAAAAATATATGCAATCTTACGACGTCATAATGCCGAAGTCCCTGTTTTCGTCTGGAATTTGATCAGAAGTTTTGCCTTCAACTTTGAGACCCAAATTTGCGATGAAATCTTCATTGACGGTAAAAAATATAAAACAACAAAAAAAGTATCATTATTATGTTTGAGCCAAATGTAAAACAAAAAGATGATAACTTACCTTATCCCCCTTTCAAAGAAATCCTCGCCTTTAGTACATGTATTACAGTATATCTTTTAATCTATAAACAACAATTGTTTTCTTCCAAGAAGTAATTTGTACAAATGAATACATAGAGAACATGGATTTGACTTTAACAGACGATACGGATACTGTTCGGTTATTTTTAATTGATATCTATTTAAAACATCAGGTATGTTGGTGTGACATCATTGAAGTAAGAGATCAATATTATGGATACAATGGATAAGCGTTGATTCTAAAATAATTTAAAGAGTATCAAATTATTTAACTTTTTTGCTTTGGGTTATTCACCTATCTTATTATTGATAAACAAATGATGTGATATTCTTAAGGTACATACCTGAACATGTATTAGATACAGAACAAAGGTAACAAAAAAAAACCAGGCTGATAACAACCGTTGCCGTATAGTTTTTCTGCACGAGTAGTCAGGTCAAGTCCGAAGCTTTAACCGAGGACCTTGACCTGACTACAGGTGGAGAAAATTATACGGCTGATTGTTACCATCCCATTTCTTTTGTTACTTTTGTTTTGTATCTGACTTGTACGACGTCTTAAAATAGAAAGAAAGAAATTTTGCATTTAAAAGACGATTGCATCATTAAAAAGAGTGAACACAAACAAAATGTGCTTAACCGGTTTATGTACTACGATGTTTAGAGATATTTTAGTCTTTATTCAATTAGGAATTTTGCGTTAACACTAGGTGCTTCTTAATTTTATAAGCCGTGTGTGAGTCAAATTATTGCTAATTTCTTTGATTTATATCAGTGTATTAGGGGTAGATTGAAAAGTTGGGAGGAAAGGGGACTTCTTACCGTTGCAAGCAAAAACAATTGAAATCAATGAAATAAAGAACAAAATATCTAAATATAAAAACAAATGTGTTTCTCCTTTAAAGGGGGATAACATGTAATGAAAAAAAATCGTTTTAAAATCTACTTATTTTGAAATCAAATTGTTTTTACTTTAATTTCATGCTCATTACAGTAATGTAATATTCGAGTAGACCCAAGTATTGGTCACGTGAAACAATATTTTATTTCATTTTTTATCCATACTTTCAAAATGGGCGATTGTTTGTTTGACGTTGAGACTTGTTTTTCGCTATCACAATTTGATTTAAACAAATTCCTTGAACATGAAGAGAAAAGGGGAAATCCTCCGTATAGCTCGATTTAGATGATTCAACAGATTTCAACTAGACTCTAGGCAAATCCACGAAAGGATTGTACATAGAAACATTTTATGGTTGCAGTTACTCTTGCAGTCAGTAACTTCGTAGACGCTTTATTTAATTTCAGCAATTTTATGAAAATTTTTCAGATAAATTATATTTATAAACCCAAGGTTTAAGGTCACAAAGTGTACCATAAAGTGCCTATGCTTTCACTTAATACATGAGCGACTCTATTTATAAAATATGTCCGTATAACACCCGTTAATGTACTGTTTTTTCTATAGCTCTGCTGCGGGCAAAGTCGTAGAAGTGGCAGTAATGCTTTTGATTTTAGTAGGTGAAGAGTGAAAACTTGGCCCTGGTTTGAGATTTATTCAAGGTAAATTGGATAAACCTCATTGTATTGCAAAACAGAATTTCCGTGCAGCTCTAATAATACACTCCATTGCAGAAGAAACAAAACATTGAAACCCCGGAATGAGTTTTATTAATTCTCGTTACTTCTTACCAAGATTTGTAATCCGTCTGTATATAGATATATATATATTATCATATATCTATTTACATTATTTACATTTTTAATAGTGGTAATACATAGAGGTATGCTGTCCAGTAAAGGGCCCAGAGTAACAAACAATTGGTCAATTTAGATATTTCTATTATAACAAATTACTTATATCATCTACTTTTATATTTGATGAGAATCAATTAAATCAAAACTAATGATGGTGTACATTTTTAACATTTGTATTAGGTTTTTCCACTTTTCCGTCGAACGACCTTTTGATTTTTGTACTTTTTTCTTCCGCCAAATTTTGTTCTTGCTCTTTTTAGTTGTTTCGCAAGGTGTCGTTTAGATATTTGATATATGATATCGAAAAGTATATATACTTTTAAAACTGACACCGTGTAACCGAAAACTTTTTTTGTAAGGGTTATCTCCCGAAGACAGTTTTTCTTACGTTTGCTTCGCAACCATAAAGGATTATGACAAAATTATTTTATCAAGTTGCTCGTAATATCCTCAGAATATTACGAATAATTTTGACCGAAAAGATCTAGAGATTCCATATGAGAGTTATTTCCCTTTATGTATTCGACATAAGTGAAAAGCTACAGTAACTCATAAACCATAAGCGATAGACACCTAGGAATTTGAGGTCCTTGGTCCACCAAAATTATAATGGGTTTGATGTCAAATTCTAGTTTATTATTTCTGCTAATTTTAACTTTTGTCAGAAACTGTATAAGATATTGACAAAATATTTTACCAAATTCTTAGTTGCGGCATGTCGTAACACAAATTTGTTTGAAAGGTATACTGTGACATTTAATGAGAGAATTTATATTTTGAATATTTAATGAGAGAATTTATATTTTGAATAAGCTGTATGATGAAACAACTTATTTACCATATATAGAAGTTACCTATATAGTGGATTGCAGACATGTGACCTTGAAGGTCAACCTAAAATAACCTCTTTAAACCGGAAGTAGCCATTGTTTTGCATTGTTACTAAAATTTCATAATTTTGGAATCAGTGTGATGTTAGGTTTAAATGAACCAGGAAAAAATGTTGTTAATGAAAAGTACATACTTATCTCCCTTATTATTAGCAAAGGTTTAAACAAAAACTAATATTTATTGAAATAGCGTAAATTAAGCTATCATTTGACACTACCATTTTCAACCGGAGGTGATTTTTTTTCTAATTAAAATTTGTATATTTGTGGGTGGTTTTACCTTCAATTGTTTTCTGTACAATGTTTTTTTAATTTTTTATTTTACATTATTTTTGAAAATGATATTGAAATCATTCTGCTATTTTTGAACGCCGTGATTGGCGAATAAAGTATTTGTTTTTATTGAGGCAACAACATTGATGCAAACAAGTGTCCGGCAACATTGGGTATGCTTAAAATAGAATGATTGGTTGTTGCTCAAAGAGCTGTTGAAAACATTATTAACTGTACGGAAAGCAAAGCATCCGCTTTACTCTCTACATGATTTAACGTCCCCATGAGAGAATCAAGTTGAATTTGAAAGTTGTGTGTACATTTGCCAGATGTTTTTCTGATTTTCTTATCAAAATTATGTCCGTAATATTCTTCCGAAGAGCGGAGAGGTAATTTTTTTCAATAGAAAGCTGTTTTTTTTCGTGTAGTGTTTCTTTTTCTCAAAAATTAATAAAAGACAAAATACAAAAGTTTAGGTATACAATTCAATGAAAATCAAAGATTTAGAAGTACAACCCCTCACCAAAAGCTGATTGTGCTATAGTAATAAAAGGCTTACTGATCTTTCTACATAAAGACATCCGTTGTGTTACACATGTAAACAACCACTTTAAAATCATGAATAGTAATTAAAGATCTGTTAAAGATGACTGATGTTTGTCGCTTGTCTCATCTATACAGTTGTAACAGTACTATGTAAAAAATCACTCTGACTCCCAACAAAATATTCTCTGAAACTGAAATTATCAAAATGCCGGATTTCCTAATTGACAACATATTTGTTACGTTAAGAAAGACTTGTTTTTTAAACGAACAATCGACATTCCCATGGAAACCACTGTGCACCTCTTTTTTCCAACCTTGTTCTTGTTTTTATATGAGGCTAACTTCATACAAAAGCTTCTTATGAAGAGATAAAAGAAGTAAGCACTATCCTTTAACTTCAATTTCCGGTATATAAATGACGTTCTCTCATAAAATATTTCCAAGATTGGTGACTATGTTGAACGTATCTATCCCATCGAACTTGAGATAAAGGATACAACAAATACCGTTAAGTCTGCCTCATATCTTGACTTACATCTATAAATTGACAATGAGGGTCGCTTGAAAAAAACTAAACTTTACGACCAAAGAGATGATTTCAGCTTCCCAATTGTGAACTGTCTATTTCTATATACATTGTAGTAACACTTCAGTAGCACCTGCATATGGAGTATATATATCCCAGTTGATACGATATTCCAGGGCTTGTATTTTCTATCAGTATTTCCATAATAGAGGTTTGCTTCTCCCAAGGAAGCTATGAAACCTACGGTTCCATGTTTTGTTAAATTACAATCATCCCAATTTTGCGGACGCCATCACGAGTTGGTTGACTGTTATGGAATATCTTTTTCACAGATGACGACGGATAAATTTCGATTATCGTAACCACAATTTTAATCCTGGTATCTATGATGAATTTATCTCTTTCCCGAATGTGATCTATCTATATAGACTTATGACAAGGTTTGTACTGACATGAACAAAACGACAGGTGCCTCATGTGGTGCAGGATATGCTTACCCTTCCGGAGCACACGAGATCACCCCGGGTTCGTGTTGCTGAGTCTATGTTGTGTTTTGTGTACTGTTGTTTGTCTTTTTCTTTTTTTTTTTTTGCCATACCTTGTCAGTTTATTTTCGACTTATGTGTTTGAAGGTCCTTTTGTAATCTTTCGCGTCTCTTTTGCAAATTTGTTAAAGATTCTTTAGGGATTGATGTTTTGTACAGATGAAAATAACTATACAAATGTATAAACTTTTCAATTCGTATTATTTACATCGAAATGCTTACTTTTGTCAATAAGAGATTTAGTGTAACTATGAGATGTATTCGAACAAAATGACAAGATACTGAAAACAGAGTGATCCTTAAAAACGCACACGTTCGAAATTATTTCTAGTCAGTGGTTCGTGAAACTTGATGTTTGAAATCTTATAAGTATCAATAGATTAAAAAGGATGCCATCCTGGATACTTAATATTCACATAGTCTGAGAAAAATAGTTTCGGATTAGGCTGATCTCTTCTTATCAAGTTTATTACCCGATGCAGTAAGCACCAGAGAAAACCATCAGGCCAGGTGTTTTGCATATTTGGTTTTGGTCGGTTTGTTTTTCGTTTTGTTAGTATAATGATTGCCTTTCTTTGAATTGTAATTTTCGATTTCCAACTTTTATAACATCTACCAATTTGAATGACTGATAATTGTACAGAAATAAAAATTAAAACAAAAATTCATTACAAATCTAACCAGACAATAAATTGAGGGAAGGGAGACTTGTTTATAGATTTTGTTTGACACCTTTGATCACTTGCCATTTCATCCGAAGTACAGGTCATTGATAAAGAAATTGGCACCAGTTTAATAAACAGAAATATTGGTGAGTTTATGTTTCGTCCATACTATTGCTACACTGGAAATAGTATATATGTAATATGAAACACTATATGAAACACTTCCCCATTCGCGACTTTATTAAAACATTAAGCAAATTTTAACCGTTCAATTTTTTAACGCACCATAGACAAGACGGGATGCAAATAGCAAAATATTCTTGTTTATCATTTATTTTTAAACTGATAAAGGGTTGGTCAGTCTTGTTTTATAATAGTGGTATATTTTATATACTGGCAGTATTAATGTAATTAAGTAAATTTAAAGTGCAATATAATTATGTTTAATCTTTGTTAATCTTGCAGTGAAATGTCAATGGTAAATTAAAATTATTGTAATTTGTTTAAACACTGCTAGGTAAGTATCATTATTTGTTTAGATGCATATGCATCGCAACACCACCCACACTGTATTCAGCACCTTAGACCTCTTGACCAACTACACTATATGTATAGTATGTATATATATCGTAAGTCGATTAATGCATTAAAGTTTCCTCTTCGGCTTTGTTTAGGGTTTCGACACAGTACATGATGTACAGTGGCAAGTAGATTGTACACCTTGCAGGATGATAATTTTAGTTACCATGCCGTCAAATCAAATATTTTTTTTATTATATACATCTAAATATGTGACTTTAGAACAGATTTTTTTCATCGGATCACCTGTGGTTATACAGGGTTAATATCATAATTTACATATACTTCGTCTCAAATTTGGCTCATCAATGTTAGATCTACAAATTTGTGTTATCGAATGTTTGTTCTTCCTTTAGCTTGATTCGAACCCTGAGTCATCGAGGAAACAGCGCCCTAGACCACTCGACCACCTAGGCTATATAAAAACGTGGCTCTCGTTAGTCAAGTAATGCATCACCTCGTTGGTGTTATCCAGGGTTATAACACTGTGCATGCTGTATACTGGCAGGTATATGGTATACCTTGAAGATTAGCGGTTTTATGCCAACCGTAAATGATGATGATTTTACTTACCATGCCGACACATCAAATTTATAGATCTAACATTTAGTGAATAAATTTGAGAAGAAATAAGGTAAATTATGGTATTAGCCATGTATAACCACAGGTTATCCGACGGAGAACGTCTGCCGTAACATTGTCACATATTTAGACGTATATAAGACGGCATGGTAAGTAAAATTATCATTATTTACGACACAAAAACAACAGCAGATCTGCAAGTTATACCATCTACCTGTCACTATACATGATTTTCTGTGTAACAACCCTGTATAACGCCGAAGATAAAAGGAATTACTTGACTAACAAACGCTATATTTTCATATAGCCTAGTTGGTGGAGTGGTCTAGGGCGCTGGATACAGTTCAGACGGTGTTGCCTTGTCTCCGAAACAGGGGTTCGAACCCACTGAGTGAAGAACAAAAATTTGCTTACGCAAATTTGAAGATCTAACATCGTTGGGCTAAATATGAGACGAAGTATATGTAAATTGTGGTGAAAGTCCTGTATAACCACAGGTTATCCGATAGAAAACGTCTGTTGTAAAGCTATATATATCTACATGTAAGTAGCTATGTATCTAACGGAAAGGGTGTTGCTATTCATTCCGGAGCACCTTACCTTAAGGTCGAGTTCGAGTTGTTCAATCTTTAGTTTACTGTTCAGTTTTCTGTGAGTTTCTATTTGTATGTCTTTTATATGATATTTTCTGCTTTATTCGATGTATGTTTTTATTGTTCACTTTCCCATATTTTTATTATTCAATAGAAAGCCAATTTTCTGAAAGGCATTTTTCAATTTTTATTGTCTTAAAATGTAACCTCTATTATCTTGTAGACTGCATCATCGTCCTCTTTATGATGTTAAAATACTGAAACAAATTATTAAAATGAAAATATAATCTTGTTGAGTTAGAATGATAAGTAAATGGAAGTACATCACAACAATTTGCGTTAAATAAGTAACCGATTAAATAAATAAGACGTTAGTATTGATCGTTTGAAACATTGATGTAGAAAATTTGTAAATTTTAATATTGAAAATTAAAAAAAAACTGACTTAAATAAAGGCAACAGTAGTATACCGCTATTCGAAATTCATAAATCGATTGAGAAAAAAACAAATCCGGGTTACAAACTAAAACTGAGGGAAACACATCAAATATAAGAGGAGAACAACGACACAACAGAAACACAACACTAAAATGCAACACACACAGAAACGAACTATGATATAACAATGGCCATTTTCCTGACTTGGTACAGGACATTTTAAAAAACAAATGGTGGGTTGAACTTGGTTTTGTGGCTAGCCAAACCTCCCGCTTTTATGGCAATGTTAAATATAACATTAAAATGACACGAATACATGACAGGACTACAATACAAATCATTGGGAGAACATTTAGGACAGAGACACACACAAATAATAGCTATCAAAAGGTACCAGGCTTGTAATTTAATACGCCAGACGCGCGTTTCGTCTACATAAGAACCATCAGTGACGCTCAGATCAAAAAAGTTCGAAAGCCAAAACAAGTACAAAGTTGAAGAGCATTGAGGACCAAAAGATCCAAAAAGTTGTGCCAAATACGGCTAAGGTTATATGCCTGGGATAAGATAATCCTTAGTATTTAGAATAATTCATACTTTTGCAAACAGTAAATTTATAAAAATGACTATATGATATATATACATGTTAACACCGAAGTGGTTACTATCTACAGAATAAAAACGAATACGTAAAACAACCTAAATCAGCACACAAAAAAGCACAGCCGAACAACGTATTATGTTAGCCAAAGAGATCGACGCACAATGTGACGTCACATATAAATTTCTATAAATTTAAAAAAAAAAGGATTGAGTTCAAGATTAGGTTCGTAATACTGATATAACATGTATTAATAACAATGAAAATTACAATACTTATTAATATACAATTGTGGTAGTAATTAGATAATTAATTATATTATCAAGCTATATCGGTATTTCTTCTAAATCAAAATGTAAACCAAATACATCGTATAAATTTAGTTTACCCAAACTAAAATCTTATAAATGAACTGGGTGATTAATTATCTTTACCGTAACACACGAATAGAACAGAGAAAAAATAAGATTTACCACTAAAAACGATAAGACATTTGAAAAAATCCGATGAGAATAACAAATATAACATCAAAACTAAATACATGGATTTTGGATAGAAAAATACCGTGACACGTCTTATAGCAATGCGAATTCACACTCAGCAAAACAGTCACAATCGGGAATAAGTCACGTTCGGTACTTAAAAGATCAGACGACGTAATGGCAAACCACAACCTAACACGTGGTAAAAATTTCCTTTGTTAGTTTGGACAAAGACACATCGTATGACTCAACTAATTCGTGATGGTGTCCAAAAAATTTACGGGGTGTCATTTTTAAACTGGCCTCCTTTGTTGGAGCAGTTTCTGTGTTAGGAGCACACTCCTGTATATGAAGTCCGTTAAGTGCGAACATCCACGAGCATAACGTGCCAATTGAGATATGTAAACACCATACGAAGGGGCAGCGGGTATGTTACTGCTGAGAAATGGGAAATTGATAATTGATGATTAAAGTCAGGAACATGATGTTCAGTGGTTGTCGTTTGTTGATGTGGTTCATAAGAGTTTCTCGTTTTTTATAAAGATTAGACCGTTGGTTTTCCAGTTTGAATGATTTTACACTAGTCATTTTTGGGGGCCCTTTATGGCTTGCTTTTTGGTGTAAGCCAGGCTCCGTGTTGAAGACCGTACTTTGACCTATAATGGTATACGTTTACAAATTGTGACTTGGGTGGAGAGTTTTCTCAGTGGCACTCATACCACATCTTCTTATATCTATTAAACATATGAAGCAAAATCATTACTTACATTTTCATCAGTGAATAAAAACTTCACAGCTGGTATTATGGTTTTATCTGCATTTTGTGAGTATAAGACTACCAAATGTCCTGTAAAATTGGAAAAAGTAAATTTATAATAAATTTAAGAATTAGGTAGAGTGTGTTTTTTTTTCAAAGAGAAACACTTAAAAATACAAAATACGAATTATGGCATATGATTTTTGAAACATTTATTCAATGGAGTAAATTATAATGATACTGTATATATAAAAGAAAATGTGTAATTTTATCAATGAATGCTAACTCTAACATTTGCCACTTTTAATCAATGTTCTCTTTTTTTGTGTTAGGGTATAGAAACATATAGAGTATATTGCAATACTAATTATATAATCCAGAATGTCCAGTATTTTAAGCGTTTTATCTCATCGTCCTTAAAGGGCAATGTGTTCTAATTTCTTCACTTGCATACATTATATTTCAATAATAAAATAGAGAATGAAAATGGGGAATGTGATAAAGAGGCAACACCCGACCAAAGAGTTAAAAATAAACATCCGAAGAATACAATATTATGTACTATATTATCTATTTTATTATATATCATTTATCAAATTTGTAAAAATGAAATGCTCAGTGACTTTAAAATGAAAATGGATGACTAATCAGATAAAGATAAAGATGCATTACTTAATTAAGGATTAAAAGAGAACATTAGTTTAAACCCTTGAATTTCATCAAATAATTTGAAACATATATGGTAAAGCATACCTTTCTTCATTCCGATTTTCGGTATTGTTATTTCATAGTTGTTTTTTACCGTCATCATAGGAAAGTCTTTTTTAATAATGAAAGTTGTATCGTCGGCCTTCTTGAATGCCAACTTTCCATATGAAATAAAAACGGATTCCTCATAGTTATCGATTCTGACTGCAGAGCAGGGGACTGCAACAGTAAAAAGAATAATTTATTTGATGTTTATACATAAGTTTAATGCTATATAAAATTCTAGTGTGGTGAAAAATATTTAATGACTTCATTTCTATAATATTCTGCGACAAGTTCCAATCATAATTGATTTGTTTGGCAAGGAAATTAGATTAAGTGATCCGTAAAACAATTGTGAAACGCACACGTTCACAAAATTATTTCTGGGCAGTGGCTCTTGAAACTTGATGTGTGAAATCTTAAGTATCAAGGATTGAAAAAAAAAATTTGAAGCCTCTCCAAGAACTGAAAGGAGGCCATCTAGATTTCTCAATATCCATGTAGTCTGAAAAAGTTAGTTTTGGAATATGCTGGGGTCTTCTACTTATAAAATAAAGTTTGAACCCGATGCATCATACATTTACTTATACAATGTCATGCAGTACTGCAAATGAACAACCGTATAAAATTAGTACGAGAAGCATTAATTTCTTATAATTACATTTTGTACATTAGTATGCTGAGACCACGAAAAAAAGTTTTATCGAGTTTATCTTTTATTTCCCTGCGCACTGTTTTGTGGAAGCACGTGTCATCAAGAATGTAACATTCATTTTAATATGAATGTTAATGTTTGAATGACACCCCATTGCTGTTAGCCATATACTAATGGATGCTCGTGAAACATGCATGTATTGTAATTATTCTATTCTAGTGTATGTAATATTTATCCCATGAGGACGTGGTGTTTCAGTGTAAGATCAGTCCGATGGCCGGAGGCCGGAGGATGATCTTACAGCGACACACCAACTCCGAGTGGGATAACTATTTTACATCCCAGCTCTTCTAGACTATATGCAAACACATTTACGCTTCAAAACATCTAGTTGAGATACAGTGTTTGAATATGTTAAGATTTATAGTGAGTTTGTGTTCAGTCGTCCTGGTGTAGGGGTATGAATCGTGCCTTCATATGCTAAAAGTCTTGAGTTCGATTTCCCGCATAGACTCTGGAAATTAAGTGAATTTTTTCTACATAAACTTGTTAAAAGTTAGTCTTTATTCCGCATAAATAAGTTGTTTTGTGTGTTCGACATTTCCCCCAAAATGTCAACAGAATAAAAGAAAGCATGCAGAACAAAGAAATTCAATATAGGGTGATCTGATAGGGGTGATCCGACTCAAATCAGCCCTGTTCGAACAAGAGGTTGGGATGTAGTGGTACAGAAATTCGCACCAATTTATCAAACAGAGATTTATTCGGGCTTATGTTCCGTCCATACTACTAATACACCGGAAATAATATGCAAAATAAAACACTTTAAAACACTTTACCGATCGCGACTTTATCAATTTTAAATAAAAAAAAGTGAAGCAATTTTAACTTTTCATTTTTTTAACTTACCATAGACAAGTAAGGAAGCAAATAACAATACGATCGTGATCATCTTAACTTTCGAACTGCCGAAGGCTTGGTCAGTCTTGTTGTATAGTAGAAGTATAATTTATACACTGGCAGTTTTGATATAATTAAGTAGAATTATTATCAATTTCAAATTATCATGATTATACTTAATTATATTTAATCTTAGTCACTTTTGCAGTGAAATGTCAATCGACAACTTAGAATAAATGTAACTTTATTTAAGCACTGTTATGTAGGTATCATTACTTGCTAGGTGCGTAGGACTGGAAAGGATTATCAATATGCCTTACCGTTTTTTTAAATCAAAATTTCGTTATTTCCTCCCTAGATATTTTTTTGTAAATATAATTCAGAAAAGACCTACGCTACTTCCTGTCTGTCTGCCTATTTTTTTATTTATTTTTTTTTTTCATTCTAGAAAATAACCCGGAGAAACGCATGTATGAAGAATATTCAGTTTATTTCATTACAGCAGAGAACTACGACATCAGTAATTGCTGATAGGTGGTTGCTGAAAAAGTGGAGACGATATAATTTCTGCTTACTTGTTTTCGATTTTATTAAATTAACACGTTTTCAGCCCAAGGTATAGATTGTGAGAAGCGTAATAGACTGAACGAAATTTACCAGTGACATATGATTTCCATACTGCTTCTGTTACACATTCGATGATTGTTGACAAAAAAATGGTCCGAATAACTGTTTGATGCAATGTAGAATATGATTTCACATTTTGTTTTTCTTTAAAAGGATAAGTACCGAAAATTTTAATAATTTAACAAAAACTATATATCAAATCAATATACAAACACATACCTATCAATGGTAAACTGTTTTTAAAAAATAAAGCCCAAAGTTGGTTAAATCAGGATATATACAATTTTAAATTGGGGTTGTAAATTTTACAGACACATACATAAAAAAACCCACAAAAAAGCATTTACATCGCAGTGTTTGATAAAGATAACAGTAGACAATAATATGGTTTTTTTTAAAACTGACACTACCTTGTTCAATCAATGCTACAATTATGAATATCTGTGTGTGGAAAACCTCTTTCAATGGCTGTCATTTTGTGAATTTGGTTTTTCTTTAAAATCATGCGCAATTTAAAACAAAACCACAGAATAAAGATTTGCTTAACATTCTATCTACAATTTGAAACAAATTATATTTTCATAGACATCCTCTCAAATTATTGATTAAAATATATTTTTATGATAAATATATCTAAGTATATGAACCATGGATAATATGATATTAAATATGAAAATAATCATCAGCACAAAATTACATGACCTTTAAATCTAATCAGTTTTAATAAATGAAGCAATTATTTCATATTCCATATTTGAGTTAATTTCTGCGGTGCATATTTGAAATAAGCATTGCAAGGGGTTATGTCAATATGTAAGTGTTAAGTTTTCGCGGTAGTCATCTTACTAAAACAAAACTGATCTATCTTATGATAGACATTAATATTTCAGGCATAAATGAAATGCATACATAATCGTATGTGTTCAAAGAGACCTTGAAACGAAGATAACCGCAGTTGCGAGTTCAATAGCATGCCGGTGCCTTTTACAGCTTACTGTACATTATGGATTTCACTCATTGTCGAATGTCGCTCTGTGACTTGGTGGGTAGTTTTCTAATGGGAACCATGCCACATCACCTTTATGTTTATCTTAGTTTAAGTTGTTTGCACCTGTCCTAAGTCAGGAACCTGTTGTTCAGTGGTTGTCGTTTGTTGATGTGGTTCATAAGTGTTTCTCGTTTCTCGTTTTTTATATATACTAGACCGTTGGTTTTCCTGTTTGAATGGTTTTACGCTAGTCATATTTGATGCCTGCCCTTTATAACTTGCTGTTCGGTGTGAGCCACGGCTCCGTGTTGAAGGCCATACTTTGACCTATAATGGTTTATTTTTAACAAATTGGGACTTGGATGGAGGGTTGTCTCATTGGCATTCATACCACATCTTTTAATATCTATTAAACTGTATTCCCCAAAACCCCACAACTGAGTTTTTTTTTAATATTGCTTGAGTATATTTAGAAGTTTTAGTTTCTCTCAAATAAATCATAAAATATCCGAAGATTGCCAGTACGGCTAAGGATATTTATGCCTTTTGGTAGAAACACCTTTTGATATTATACTATCAGATCCTGCTCCACACATGGCACCCGTCGTGTTGCTCATGTTAGTACAAACCCGGTTATTAGTCTAATTTGGTAGGTCACATTCGGGGAAAACGTGACATGATTGTAGTTTCGACATTTAGAACATATCCGCGATCATCTGTGAAACGGATATTCCATAAAGTTCAAACAACTCGTGATGGCGTCCGTAAAATTTTCGAAGGGATGATTTCAACTTCCCCGCTTGGAACTCTTGGTTTAATAGCTTCCTTGTAAGCAGCAACTCTCAAGACATCAAGTAAATCATGATAGGAAATTTCAAAACGTTCACATTCTTCACTTTTTCCTCCCTCATTCCCATACTGATGACCCTTATTTTTGCGACACTTGACACAAACAAGAAGTGGACTTAGCGACTGTTTTGTCCGGATTAGACTCAATAGCGATAATTTGTATTGTAAACAGTCAAAATTGTCCATGTAATAAAGCAATACTTACTGGTACATTTATCAAAATCACTTGATTGCAGACTTGACATCGGAATATTATATCGATCCAAACAGGTTTGACTTCCAGAAAACGATTTTGATCTAATCCAGGACCAAAACGGAAAGTTTTTACAATCACAGACTAGTTCCACATCCCTTTTTGTGCATGAAAAATAATAAAAATGAAAAAAGTCATTCTTGTCTACTGAAGTTTTCTAATGTTTTTGCATGTTTGTTTAGATATGACAATACACAACCAATATAAATCTCAGAAAAGACAGAGACACCACCTGAATATATAGCTTGAGTAGTGCAAACTTACTTTAGCATTAGAATGATACCAAATACTCTAAATGAAAACTATAATGATCACATGTGGTAAAATGTGGTCCTCCTTTGATATCTTTTAACGCATAGCATATAAGTTCCTTTGAGATATCAGGCTTATTTTTTGGAAGGCAAGAAGTCCTTTTTTGTGGACACAAAACACATCAGTGGTGCCCTTATCGCATCAGTTGGAAGCCCACATAAAAAATAAAGTTAAAGAACATTAAAAACCAAAATTTCGAAACGTTGTGTAAATACAGCTAAGGGGAATATGTGCCGGGTGATAGAAGAAATTAAGTGTTTAGCTATTTAGTAATTAATCTATTATATGACTTAAATCAAGTGTCAAAAAAGTTACTTCGGGAACACTGGTAACATATATATATATATATATATATATATATATATAACACAGTATGCTCACTTTCATCAAATTGAGTGAGAAACAAGTTAACCATTTACTCACTTAAGAAAGGGTCGGTATATGCCTAAAAAACGAACATAACTGAAGAGACATTAATTGTCGAAATGCGCATCTAGTACAGTACAATTACTAACATTGATGCTATTAAAGTCATGACTAGTTTGTTCCGGGCATTGCAAAAATAGTGTTTGTTTTTATGAAATCTACCATGAAGTGTAGCCAACATTATTAGAGTGTAAGACGGCATGATGTAATATCATCAGGTTCAGTTACTTTTCGATAAATGCGAGCAATCGTTGATACGCTGTACATTTTGTTGTTAACTTTATATTGTACACAAATGATAGAGAACGTACCAAGGGAACAATCGAAAAATCATGCATCCAATAAAAAACAGCATGGCCAAAAAGAATAACAAAACATTGGAAAAAAGCATCTGCGTCATTTTGTCTTTCATTGATAATTTTCTTATTGGCAATCAGACTTTGTAACAACTGAACAACACGAACCGCACTCAGAACCGGACCCAAAATTCTCCGGATTGGTCAGTTATTATTAATACCTAATCATATTTTATCATTATCTAATTGAATTAACCCAAAATATGTGTCGTCATTACACAAGTTAGTGTTACATGACACAATGTATAACAATTCTAACGAGAAAACAAACGGCCTGATATATGTACAAATAAAATTGATTTTATTTTCAATTATTTAATGCATACCTACAGATAAATGGCTTTCCAATAATATTTATATACGGTATTGATTTATTATTTGTGGAATGTCATACGGTTACCTACTGGTGTTTACATCCTTGTCCGTTGGTTTTGTAGGATAATTGTTGCATTTGCAATTGTACCATACAGAACTCCCATTTTTAATACAGTTTGAACAGATACGAAACGGGCCATCATATTTGGTTTTGAGTAAAATGAAAGGTAAGTTAGGGTAATGGTTTACGAAAATTATAGAGATTTTACACATGATAATGTATTACAAACTATGAGATCATCCACGGATTTTTATAGGGTTCGTGTTGCTCTGTCTTTAGTTTTCTATGTTATATTTTGTACAATGTTGTTTGTCTTTTCCTCATTTTCATTTTTTGCCATTGTGATGTGAGTTCGTTTTGTTTTCGAATTATCAGTTTGATAGTCTCGTGTTTATCTTTCGCCTCTTTTTTTTTATAGTTGTATTATATATCTATTATACAATGTATAAAGAATGAAAAAGCTTCATCCAACCAAATGTGTGTGAACCTTTCACAAGCGAGAGGTTTAAATAATTTATACTATCACAAGTATCTGTCATTATACATGTATAGTTATTATGTGTACTCACAGATGCCATAAAGTGTTGAGATGTTTAAAAGTGTCAACGTTAACGAATTTCAAATGGCTTCCTCCCAAAAATCTGCAAAATATATACAACTTGTTACTGCTATTACCTAACCTTTTCCGGTTTCGTGCGTTCAATGTGATAATGTTACAAGCCAGAAAGTAAAATCAAGCTGTTTGATTTTTTTTAAGTGTTAACTACAAAGGAGAAGGTCCGGTAAGGGATAATTTTGGCCTATAATTCGAAGCACATCTGATGACAGATTTTTGGTAGTTTTTAAACACTAAAGTGTCTACACCAGTCAATTTAATAATTTAATGTTAAATATTTGAACTGATTTTGTCAATAAAGACGCTCAAATTCAAGCTTAGATATGAAAAATCTATCAAGTTTTAGTATTTCATGTAGATGACATGTTTAAGCCTTGTTAATTTGTATACACTGTTTTGTGGAATCCGGCCAATATAGATCTTATTTTTAAAACTAATCTAGGTGTTTTTATGTTGACCACCCAACGTTTGCCTTTTGTGTAGTGTGGTTGATGATGGTCTTGGATTCCTTAGAAACCTGTTCGTGCATTTTTCATTTCTATTCAATGCAAAATAATTATCTAATATACCTGGAACGATCTCATTTCATAATGGATTTTTTTTTTGCTTCCTTATTGTAGCTCATTCTTATTAACCCGGTGTAGGTCTTTAAGTTGAGGTTGAATTTACGAAAAATTAATTGGGCATGACAAAATAAGTCCACATCTAATTTACTTATAGTGGCCGTTATTGATTGGAAATTCATGTCGTTTTGTTTTTGGCATTCGTCTACTTAGGAGAAAAAAGAGGGAGGGGGTAATAGCCTAATTTGCAATTTTGATCATGATTCAACTTTATTCTAGTACGACATACGTTTTACCTCTAGCCAACGCTCTTATTAAAATGTCACTCTATAATTTTTATCATTTGCTTCAGGTCTATTCACTTTGCATCTCGTCGTGAATATGCATGACATATTTCCCATTGAACATTAAGGGAGCAATCAATTAATCAGCTTTATTTAGTGATGTATAATCATTAGTCGTCTGGTGATAATTGTCTTAAACAGTTTTCTAATTATTATTAATTTGATTTTTTAAGCTTAAATTTTAGCATTTCTTTCCTAATTTTTCTCTTTACATTTATTTTTTTTAGCATTAAATACGGTAGTCCACATCAGAGGTTACATTGTATCCTACCCAGCCAACTTAGGAGGAGGGGAGTAGAATAGAAACATATCTTCATTGAGAGGTAATAACTCATATATGGAAGACCCCCAAGGGTGACTGGGGAATAGAAGTATGGTCACCAATGGTCTTCCTCCGACCGGCAGCAAAACCCTCGTCAAAGTGGGGCGTCTGTTTGGTTGTGCGGGATGTTCAAATTTACAGCCACGTCCGGTTAGAATGTGGACGTTAAATCCGATGTTTCGTGTAGAGAGAGTGCCACGCTCTTTGCACGTTAAGAACCGTTGCAACAACTCTTTGAGGGGTCCGTAGGTGACCTGTTGCAAGGCTAAATTTCTGCCCCTGTCCAATATACCCTCATTTTCCGTGGCAGTCTAAATTTAACCGACCATAATCCCGGACGCCACTGTTATAGAACCTACCTATTGTGTTTATTGTTAATTTGTTCTCGTCCTGAATATGCATGAAATATTTGCCACTGGACGGTAAGCAGCCAACAATCAATCAATCAATCAATCAATCAATCAATCATATATGGAAGCGTACAACGACGGCAGTCTTGTCAAGGTGACGAAACTTGCTGTGTCAAGTTTTTATATATCTGGTATAGTTGTCATACAAGCAAAAATCGACAAAAAAAAATGCTGGCAACAATTTATATAAAGATTCTACTTATTTTGACCGTTTTGTTTATTTTTCAGATATTATCTTATTGATCGGTTTTGTTATCTTAAGTTTTTTTTCATCTACAATTGTCCTTGCAAAATGCGCAAAAATGTGTTAACATCAGCCATGAGACTTATTTGAAGATTAAGCTGACCTTTGTTGTTGTTTAGAGATTTCAATTATTTAACTTGTGCTTAAAAATGTATGCCAATCTCAAAGAGTAATTCATATGATTTTTTAACGTATAGATAGCGTGAAATTCTCACTACACCAGGCATCCGATATACGACATTTCTATTTCGACCGGACGAAGCTGTCTATTTATACATCCGAACAGTCAAACGGATGCACCCTTGTATACTATCGGACGGGAGAAGTCCAGAGATATCAATATGTCTATCCCCAAGTCATTGGTTTTTAATGAAAATAGGTAAAGGTATACATTAATGCGACAGCAACCCAAAAGACACAGACAAATGAAAACATTAACAGTCAACATAGTCTTTTGTAATAGAAAGATGCCTATACAGAATGATAAAGCTCAAAACCGCCAAAAACACTAAACAATATGGAGTTAATATTATAATATTAACCGTCAAAGATTTTCCAACATGCAAAAGTGTTTGGTTGAAAAATACCACCTGCCCTTGTTTAATTTTGATCGGTGGAAATAAAGAAGGTGTTACATAAACTAGTAGAAGAAAAACACTTATCTGTACAGTAACGGTAAAAAAAGGATGATAGTGGATGACATCCAGCGGCGAATAAAATGCATATTCAGGACGAAATCCATCATGTAAATATAATATGAAAATTAACCCTGCTTTGTACTAGACCGACACGCTGAGCCGGATTTTTAACGTGTTAGTTCACAAGCTAACAGTTCGCATAAAGGAAAGTTACCCTACCCGGACACATTTCTGACTCCGAGCTGACTTACTCTTAAATGCCGCGTGTTTAGCGTTGAAACACCAAATACCAATTGTAACGACTTTATTTGACCCGGTCGAGATTCGAACCAACGACCTCCCGCTCTCTTGGCAAACACACTCCAACGAGACCAACCAGGAGAGCGGTTGTGAAAAATAGCATACCAAAAACTTAAACACAATAAACAAAACAGTTTCTCAGAATTATCACAGATACTTAAGAGAGCTAAAAGTATCTAACCTAAAGTTGTTAATGTCGATGACCGACTTTCAGAGTGGATTTCAAAGATCAAAGCTCGCTTCAAATTTAAAACTCTTGCACAAATTATTTGAAGGGTCTGGATGTGGACAGCTGTCCTGATTCAAAATATTCTCATTTTCCAGTGGTATTCCAATTTCACGTCCAACCTCACTGTCGACCTTTTATTGTAAGACCTACCTATGGTATTAAAATGTATGTATTCTCGTCATGAACATGCATGAAATATTTACTACTGGACGTAAAGCATTCAACAATCAATCAACTTCATAAATTATTCCATGTACAAAGTACACGAAGACAAACTCTTGTAAAATGCTATAATGTAAAATTTCCATTTAAATCACTCAATAATAGTGCAAAAATGTTTATAATAGAAATACAAATGATATGGGGTATCCATCCATGACAAAAATGGTCTCTGTTTTTGTGTTTGTTATATTTTTGCAATTTACTACATTACCTGATAACTGAACTCTTTCTTTTCTTTTCTTCAACTTATATTTAACTTAAATAATAATTCTTACTATGGTTATCATCTACTGTTTTATTACGATTTAAATTTATTATATATGATTATGTCAGGCGATTATAAAACTAAAAAAGGTATAAATTTGTTTTTTTCTTCAAGGCGTGTATGCTTCAGTTAGACGTGAAATGGGAATGACGGACGACTAAAACAAGTGTTTGCTTTCATATAATACATTTTATTTCAATTTCTATGTATATCTCATGTTTACACGTTTCGATTGAGCCACTCATAACCTTAAAAATTGATGAAAAGATGTTACATTTAGGCTATTTAATACGATTTTATCCATTGAAGTTTACAGGCATATTTTTTTTTATATTTAAAATACACAAACGAATTAAGATTTTTTTATTAATTCGCCTGAACAGACAATAGTAATTATTTTGCATTTGTATGTAACATAGTGTAGGAAAATCCCAGAATCAAAAGCAAAATGAACATTTACCTGAATATTGTGAAGGACCTTATGCATCTAGGTCTGTTCGATTAGATGTTGTGAAACAAGTTGCTTAAATGATTAATTGTTGGAAGAGTTTACTTACTGTTTTCATATGGTCTGGTCTTGACGAATCTATCTCATGATTACTGACAGATTTAAAAACATCAAATATATATAACCAGAAATTTTTGTGCAGAACATTCAGTGGTGAGTTATAAATGAGTCTGTATAGAGTTTTGATTTACTCTTTTATAAAATTAAAAAATCGTTATTTTGAAAAGTTTGAATATAAATTTAGTCCCTAGATTTATAAAACTATCGGTCCGTTTCCAATGCAGTTGGGTAACTGTTATTTGTATATATCAGTCCGAGTACTGTTTAACTAAGTTGAATATATTTAAATTTAGACTTGCCAATTCAGGGGAATTAGGCTTCTGCACCTGGTTTTTTTGTGTCCTTTTCTTATGATTTTGACGGTCTGTAAGTCAATAAAAGTTAAATGATAAAGTTAATATTGACATTAAAAGACTTCCTCACAAAAAGGGCTGTGCAAATTAACTCGCCGTTCGGTCTCTGGAATCTCAACATCCCTTTTTGTTCGAAGGTCAATACTATCAATATTAACTTATCATTGAACTTTTACATTTACAAAACTGTGTAATTAGACATTTGTATTTGGCAAAACCTCTTCAACTCTGTACTTGATATGGCATTATAACTCTTTTTATTCCAGCTTCACTGATGTATGAATGGCCATTCGGTTCACAATGCAATTTTTTACATGTTCGCTAGAGAAACGCGTTGCAATTTGTTCATCTACTCTAGAGCAACCAGTTGCTGTTGGTTCGCACATCCTAGTACAATGCGTAACAGTAAGTGTACAATAGAGCAACGCATAACAGTAAGTTCACGTATTATAGAGTAACGTATTACACATTTTTCGCGTACTCTGCAGCAATGTGTTGATGCTGAAAAGAGGAAAAAGTTCGTGTTCCTGTAGGGAACCTGTTTCATAGGAAACCCTGTCACCCCTA